TATACTTGCAGACCACAAGTACATACTTGCAGACCACAAGTACATACTTGCAGACCACAAGTACATACTTGCAGACCACAAGTACATACTTGCAGACCACAAGTACATACTTGTACTGGGAGGAGGCTACTTCAGTTCTTCAGGTCTTTCAGGGGCCCTTCTTTGTGGTTACAGCAGTGCCCCTGTTTGCTCCTGCCCTGCTTAGATGCTCCATGTTTCATTGCACCGGCTGCCTTTTGCTACTTTGGATCTCGGTACTCTCACCCCCTAGGGAGAGGTTCTTGGTTCATATGCAGTGCACAGTATCTTCTTCTTCAAACTGTTCTCGATCTGTTTTCTGCACTCCTGTGGCTTAGTGACTGCAGCTGTTGGTGATTTAATATCGTTAAAATAATCCTTTAAGCTTGCTTACCCTGCTAGCCTTTGCCTCTCTGGTAAATTTGATAGTTGGGAACCATAGCATTCTCCATAGCCCATTAAATTTGCAGACTGTGCTGATAATTTAGGTCCATATCTGTTGCAGTTTGCCTTGCCCCATTATCTTCTGCTAAGAACTTATGTTACAGTCATCTGGGCTTCTAAAGGTGGTATTGTATCACCACCTCTTCCTCCCCCTCCTCTTCTGTCAACTCATTATAGAACATCCATTTACCTCATAATATATAACTCAACACTTTCAAATTAAAGAAAGTTAAGAAACTAACACTTAACATTAGAATTAGAAAAATGTTAAAACTTGTATTGTGCCATTAGGTTTCGGTGACAGTTTATTAGAAAACCTGTTGCCATCAGGCTATTGAAAATGAGGGAAAAAATCATGTCACAATGAAATCCATTCACGTTAACTAGTTTATAATATTTTCCTAGAATGAATAAATTATCATTACAGTAGTAATTAATGATGTAACAAATTAGAAAGCCTTAAAAAACTGCTTCCAAATCAAGAAATGGTAACATAGGCAACTCTTCATCTGCTGCTATCAATAAGCAGCTAAATACATACATACATACATACATACATACATACATACATACATACATACATAAATAGAATGATTTTGATTGGCTTTATGAATCTTTGCTAAGAATAATGTATAAATATACTGCACAACCCTAATACTGTATAACAGTACACTTATACTGGAGAGCAAAAATTACAAGAATGCAGGATGGAGAGTAAACAGCAGATTATAACAAAAGTGGTAACCATACACAACTACCGCAGAAGATGAGAGAAGCAACTAGTTAATGGAAAAAAATTGTTCTACATGAAGTGTTGCAGACAAAAATGGTATCAGCATATAGTGTTTCACATGTGATAAAAGACATCACATGGTCTGTTCAGAATTATCTTTAAGCACCCAATTCAGAAAAGTCTGTCTATGGATTTGCCATAAAGAACGGCTATTGTGACAAAAATCCTAAGACATTTCTAATGGATATAAACTGGCCTTTGCAGAATAATTACCATCTATGTACACAGAATGGGATAAAGTAAATTCTAACAAAGATCAAACTACAGTTGCTGGTAGCTTTTGCAAGCTACAAAGAGGTAAAAACCAAAATGACAGCATGGAGAAATATAATACAGTATGCTGTAAACGTGTGTCCTAGAACAAGCACTGTTGCCAGAATGCATCCGAGTAGTGAACCATAGGACTATCTGTACAGCTAAACAGAGTTGGCAAGCCTACATCTCCACCGTTAGTGTTGACACCATCATCTCTGGACGTCCATAAGATTGCAAGTAAATTTAGTTGTGACTTGCTACTTGTTCTTCATCTCCCTGGTCCCAATGTGGCGGATCTGGTGCTGATCGACGACAAACTAGGTTCATGATTTCCTCTCATTTGTTTCGGTGTCTACAGGATAATTACTGACTTTATCTCGTGCAGTCCCTGCATTATCCCCACTCTGGCTTATGTTGTGTTTTGACCCGCTGCTCCTCAGTAGGACCCTGTTCCCTCTAGGTTCCTTCCTTATTCTGCAGGGTTGACTCATTTGCAAGATTTTCAGTTCACACTGGCAATGTCTCTCCTCATGTTGTTCCTACTCTGTCCCCATGGACTGCCCCGCTTGTAAATTTTGCAAGACCCTGACCCACATTGTGAGGGCTTATACTTCTGATTTGTAGAGACTTCCTTGAACATTTTTTTGTATCTCATTCTGACTCCATTGCTCTGTTCACTGATGGGTCTAAGTTTGCTAATGGTGTTGATTATTCTGTTGTTTTCCCCATTAAACCTATGTGTTTGCCTTGCCCCTGGAGACTAGCATTTTCATAGCAGAACTTGTGCAGTTGTGTGTGCTCTTTATCAGGTGATTTGTCTGTGTCACTGTTAGTTTGTCATTGTGGTTAACTCGCAGTTACAAGACTGGAGTCTTGTAACTCTGGGCTGGGTGGGGGATGCAGGGGAATTAAAATCTCCCTATTTTATTGTGTGACACCTTGTATTAAACACATTCCTCCTTCCTCTCAGTCTCGTGTGATAAGCAATCAGGCCCTTGAGTTGGAGTGACCTTGAAAATCATTTTCCCTCTTCTGCTGGCTCCTGTGTTGGAACACGACCCTGGTTCATCCCCAGCTCTCTCGTCTGATCCTCTCTCTGCCCATGCTGCCTCCCTGGCAGTGGCATCAACTGCATTGCCAGTGGCAGTAGGCTTGCATACCAGTGCCTCCTCTTCACTGATTGTAATGTTGATGCCATATGCACCCTTTGCTACTAGGAGACCTCAGTGTCATAACCGCACTCATGTCAATACCGTCTTAAGCTCACTTATCTGGACTATATGGGAAGGACCTCCTCCAATCATCTGGATAAGCAGAATTCTTACTGGGGAAGTCCAAAGATCACCATATTCACAATTTTTTGTACAACAACCAAGAAAGGGTAATTTGAATTTCCATACAAACTATAAATTAAAAATGTAATTTAAAACAAAAATTTCAGCATATACCTTGTTGTGGTCTGTCCTCTTGTTTGATATTGCAGTTCTTGAAAATTTACGTAACCTAGTCTCTGGTTATCCTGATTTCTGTTCGGATATGGCAAAGTTTTGCCAGACAATTATCCAGATACAATTTTGGCCTGATAACCAAAATATTCAGTTCAGCAGGATTCAGGTAACAGAGCTAATTGCTCTCCCTCCTTCCATGACATGTTTGGCCTATAGACTTGGGCCAAATATTTTGATCTTGCACATGCTGCTTGCTGAACAGGTAGTTGCCAATGATCAGCTCCATCGTGGCCTAGTGGGGACATTATTTTCCATCCCCAGTGCTCTGACACTCATGCCACTGAGACCCACATCCAGGAAAAATTTGGTGTTTTTGATGCTCTCAACAATGTTGGTGAAGTCCCAGTCCAGGATACAAAGAATATCTGTTTTTCCCCTTAGGCTGTGATTATCATTTATTGATGATTCCTAGTGGCCTGTGGTTATCATCAAAAGACGATATAAGCAATTATTGTCTGGGTTTCACATGTATGATGCAAATATGGATATAATAGGTCTATGTGGATGTAATGGAGTTTACCTTGACCAATGAAAAAATCTTGCTTCCATTTCATGGTACGAATGAGGTTATTGTCATGAATGTTACTAGGGGGAATGCAGTCATTGTCATATGATGATTTAAACAATTATTGTCAGGGTTATACATGTATGATGCAGATATTGATATAATAGGTCTGTGGATGTAAATACAGAAAAAAGTGATAAAACAACAGGTGAAATATATATATTTCCAAGGATAAAACAGGAAGTGTCAGCAAAGTCGAGCACCAGGCAATGACAAGGGCCAGACGCAGCCTTGCAGAGCACCTCCACCCAGTGAAACAAAAATTATTCACTTATTTTTGCATTTTTCTTACATTCTGCATACAAATGAATAATTCTATAATTTTTTTTTTGTGCATAGAATAAAGATTCTACCTGAGTGTCAGTCATAATAGTATGACTATTTTTCCATAGCCACTGTCTGAAGGTTAAATACTAGCATTGAGACCTTTATTTTTGTTTCATGTCGCAGGGATCTATGGAATTGCCATGGAGACATCCAAGTTATTATAGAGGACCAGGGACACTTGGTCCTTCAGGTAGATAGGTTCACTATCTATTCAGATAGTTCACCATCATTCTTCACTATCATTTGAGTAACTTGTTATTCAGGTTCACTATTCCTTGTGATAATACTGATTATTATCCTTGGTGATGACAAATGTTTCATTCAGGAGAATATTCCTGCCATCATCAGTGCTGGAAATTTGCCCATGGATCTATCTTAGCCAGGTCTTCTTTTGCCCTCCGTGTAGCAATTCTGGATATATGAAGCATTCTTAGAACTCTCTTCCTGTTCAGTGCACACTATAAGATGGAGCAGGCCATCCTCTTCCTTAAGCAGAAAGACATAACTTTCTTGGAAGTGAGATTGCCAAATATGATGCCTGAGCCAGGAATGTCCCTGGTGCCTCTACCCAGGGCCACGTACCTTCCACCCAACCTTGCCCTGTCTGCCTTCCATGCTCGGTTCTGTCCCTGCATCCCTATCTTTCAACACTTCCAATGTGCATGCAAACCCCTCTGGTTTTCATTTCCCCCCCTCTACTCTTACCCTCCCCTCCCCTCTGTCCCTTGTTCTTCTTTCCACCCTCATCATCACTGCTGATTCGATGATGAGGGTGGAATGATTTTCACCCTCATCATTCATCCATGTCTATCTGTTTTTTTCCCCAGGTCACCAGGTTCAGGTTTCTCGTGAATTGGCAAAAATCCAAATTGGTTGTGTCATGTGTTTAAGCCGGGTTTGGGATTCTTAGTTAGCTTCCCTCTTCTTTCAGACTTTGAAAGTAGAGGGAAACTCCCATCACTAAAACTTTGCTTAAGTATGGTATTAATATTTCAAAAGCTGCATGTTAAGGGTTAAACTGTGTATATTACAAATAACTGATGTTGTGTTTTGCTAATGGTGTAAACAATAACTAGTTTATTTTTTACAGGCATTGAAGAAGTGCAGATCCCTCCAAGTCCAGCCACCCTAACAAAACAGCTGCAGAGCGCTTACATGACGGAGGCAGCATTATCTCCATCAGTCTCTCAGTCACAGCACTCTGGCTCTTCCTACTCCTCACCAGGGACGACCCATGATCTCCCATTTACTGAAGGCCCTCCAACCTCTGATGACAGCTTCCCGACTACTCTGACTCAGCCTGGCTATTCATCTGCACCTTCTGCACCAGGATTGTCAGTTACAGGTGTATCCCCAGAAGGAGATGCACAATTGGGAGCTCTAGCATCACCATCTGGTGATGTTTACCTACATCAGTCAGGTACAGGATTGGGCTTGGAAAGTTTAGAAACAGGAACTTTGCCCCTTGTAACAGGCATGGAAGTAAGAACACATTCACCAGCTCTTAGTGACTTGGTATCATCTGGGCCACTCTTGACTTGGTCTCCCAGATCGGCGGACTCTATGATGGCACAATCACCCTCACTTAATGATGCTCTTACAGCCAACATTCCTCTTGATGTTAATCATAGTGAAGACTCATTATGTGATTCATCTACAGGATTCCCTGGTCTTTTTTCAATAGAAGGAGATGGTGTTAGTGTTTCATCAAGTACGAGCGAAGATATGCGAATTGCTACACCAGGAGGGGCCTCAAGTAACCAACAGCAGCATATGCATCACCAAGAACAAGAGTCACAAGAACAGGAAGTAACCATAGATTTGCATCCAAGGGAGAGTGAGCAAGATCACACGATCACATCCACAAGATCACCTACTCAGTTAGAATTACCTGTAGGCACTTTAAGTGGAATGTCTTCTCATGGTACTCAGCCATCAGGAAGCATTATAGTAAATCAGGCTGCACAAGACACACCATGGAGATTTGACAATACTGTTGGGACCCAAAACAAGCCGGTGGCTAATCAAACACGAGTACTTGTAAATGAACACACTAAAGATGTAAAGCCAGCTGTAAAAATGGAGGAAGCTGCAGGTCCTTCAGATATTAATCAAGTAAGGTCAAAAAACATAACTAAAGCCTCTCATTCCAAAATTAGAGATAGGGGAAAGCATATGCCAATCAAAGAGCAAGAACTTGATGATGTTAAAATTGTTGCAGAAGTTGTTTCTTATAAAAGTACAGGAAGAGAGAGGAGATCCATTATGCAAAATAAGCCTGATGGGATGACTGATGCAATCAGTAGTAACTCTTCTCATGAAGGTTATAACAAAAAACGAAGCCCAAGAGTAGCCTGTACTCCAGATAGAAAAAAGAATAATTTGCCAGGTGAAAATGAAGGAAGTGAAGAAATTCCAACTAAGAATGGCCATGATGAAGACTCAGATCTTCCAGATGTAAAAGCTGAACACAGTGCCAGTAACGTTAGAAGTAAACGTAGAAGCTCGCAGCGTACTGTTGCAGCCTCTCCCAGTGGTATAATCCAAAGTTCACCTTGTCGCAGCCGTTCCAAGCCCTTGAAAACTATAGCAGGTGTTAAAGAGAAGGAAGAATCCAGAGTAATTAGCAGTGAATTTAAAGAAGATAAACTTTTCATGAAGGTGGACAACAAAGACCTTAAAGAAAGTTGTGAAGAAGGTGTAGGGAGAACAACACGTGGAGCTAAAAGGAGAAGTGAAGGTGATTCTGTTGGTGAAGTAAAACGTGGCAGGGGTACTAGATTGGGTCGTAGCCGTAGTGATGGATATGTATTATCAGTGGATGAGGATGTGCTAAACCATTTAGATGAAGACTGTGCTTTATCAAGGGGACTACGAGGCCGTCATGTGAGTGGTACTTCAGACACAAGTAGTAACTATAGCTTGGAACATGCAATTACACCGGGACCACACGATTCCCCTAGTATGAGTGGGAGCAGAAGGCGACGGCGTCTTAGTCGAGAAAGCAGTGCCAGTAGTAGAGATGGGAGCCCTCCGATAATGCATGACTTTTCTCCCAGCGGTGTAAATACTCGACGGTCCTCCTCTCGTGACCATGCCAAAAAAAAGAAATGTTCTTGTTGTGGGGGAGGCGAACAGAAAAAAAGTGGGTCTGGAAGTGGTAGACGATCATCTGCTAGAGCTTCCCGAGGCTCTAGTACTGGTACTGTGCAATAAAAGGAGCTAACTATGGTTGTTTTTCTGCAGTGTTAATATTTGCTAGATTTTCAGGCATGAATGTATAATACTGAAAATGAGCAGCGGTGACTGCAGAAAAGTTTGATAGTGGCATCAAGAGGAGCATGATCAATACTACCAGTAGCACTGCAATAGGTAATAAAGCAGCTATATTAAATGCAGTTGTGTTCACTAGATCACACTTATTAAAAGGCCTAACTGCAGGTCTTCTGAGCAGATTATCTTCCAGAACTCCAGGTGTGGCATTTTTTAATCAGAGGAGGATATCACTGCTCACTATGGTAATCAGTGACTCTTGAACAGTCTTCACCTCTTTCCACAGTGTAAGCATTAAGTGTTATAGTTTTAATGTTCCTTTTAATATTTCAAAATATTTTTATACTCTGGAAGACTTGCTCACTCATGTGAGCTCTTGCAGCACATTTTTTTTATGGGATGTTAGTGCCATACATTTCCATTTCACACTTATTGGACTGCATACCACTGGAAAGATATCTCGGTGGTCATCGGTAGCTTGGCTTGATGCATATCTTGCATCGGGTCAGAGCAACGAGGTCACAATGATCATTTGTACCTGAATGCTTTTAAAATGGTGTTAGCCCAAGTTTGTTAGGCATCCCTGGAGTGTGATGCAGCCTCCCCTTTCTATTTACAATTGCATGTGTACACACTCGCGCATACATGTTCTGACACATGCACATGTACACATTTACATGCTCTTGCCTTAATTGCCACACACACACACACACACACACACACATATGGGCTCTTAATCATATTCTCACGTGGTCTCTCTAATATGTACACGTACACACACATTCACTCACACTCACTCACTCACTCACACTCACTCACTCACTCACACTCACTCACTCACTCACTCACTCACTCACTCACTCACTCACTCACTCACTCACTCACTCACTCACTCACTCACACTCACTCACACTCACACTCACTCACTCACACTCACTCACTCCTTCCCACCCTCCCTCCCTCCCAACCCAACCCATCCCATCCCCCACATTAATACATGGTCACTTATGCATCTACACATGCATTCATATGTACATGTAGACATAAATATATCCTCTTCTAATTAGTATGGAGCATTGCTTCATTCTAATCATCCCCACTCTTCTTCAATACCATTAGAAATTAGTCACTCAAATTTTATCACTCCATTGTAGGGGTCACACCCATTGATACGCTTTTGGTGGACACTGTCTATTTCTTAAAGCTTGTCCTGCGCAAACGTGTAAATATTTGTCATTAGTAATTTTGTGATTTCCCCACTTTCTTCATTTTTAAATCCCTTGTTAGAAGTTATGAAGAATTGTTTGTATAGACAAATGGTGTTCTTGAAACTTCTAATACTGTACACATAGGCTAGTATCACTTCCTTGCTGGATCAAAATGTTTTAAGTTGAAATATTAAATGGGCTCCTTGGTGATAGTCTTCTACTCAAATATAACTGGTGGCTGGTGGAGGAATCAGCGTGCTGTCCATTACAATACTCCCGTAGCATTGTTAGCATTTCTACTAATGGGAAAATGTTACATCTGTAAATTAAATTTCTCTAGTAAAGCTACATGTTCTCATAATGATAATACATTCCCAACCCAAAGAAGTACAGTAATTTTTATTTACTTTTTTATATAGATAATTCACAAGATATGGATCCATTAGCTGTGTTCATTATGGGTGTGGGTCTGTCCATAGAACAGATTGACATTACAGTTACCAGAGTGCTATGTAAAAAGGTGTTCAATTCAAGTATAGTGTGGTTTTAGATAAAATCAACAAATGCCTTGTTTCTGGGTGTAGTGCACATTTCGCTGCTTGACTGTCAATGATGATAACGGGGATGACATATATTCAGCCACTGCAATATATTGAGAATTGCTGGATTAGTATTTGAATTTTCAGAAAACTATTAGTAGATAATGAAATGGTGAAATAAAATAATGAAAGTCCAAAGCTTGTGGTGTAATGACTTTATCACAAGACAAAACTATGCATTTTAGTTCCCAGTGTGAAGACTAGCATAGATATGTAGGCAGCATCTTGTGAAAACAACAGAGGAAGGCAGAACCCACCCCTTCTATACTTGCGAGTAGCTTATCTCACTGTAGTGTGTATTCCCAGTTTGGGGAAAGACTGCTTAACCATCATTTTCTCTGTTAATGGTGGTATTTAATTGTTCTTGCTCTATAAGAATTGTAGAAGTCTTTATGCAAGTTTCAGTTTTATGTTTCATCATTTACAAATCATTTGATGATCATAAATTTGACACTTAGTGTTATATAATTACAGGAGAATACTCTCACTTAATATTTGTTAAATTTTAATAACATGTTGAAGGAAATATGAAATTCTTGTAGACAGTACTGTACTTTGGATTATATTTTATATTAAAAAATACTTATTTTTAAACATTGAATTAAATTGCTGGCATCCATGCAATGTCAGAATCCAACATTTTTTATATATACGTTTATATTTGGGATGAGCCGTGAATATGTATTTCAAGTTCCCTCACAAATTATAAATTTTATAGGTACAATCATTCTGTTGCTCAGAATTGTGCTGATTTTTCTAGTGGACAATTGACTATACAGCTAAAGAGTTATGTTAGATAACTTAATGTCCATAATAATACAAACAAAATATTTTATTTATATGTATATAAAGTGTGAAGGTTCCATCATTTCTGTACCACTGTGTACCTTTTGCTTGTATAATTGGCTTAGAAAATAAGTTGGTTGAGAACCTGTTTTCTCCTTTTGATAGAGTTTGTAACTTGACTAGTGGTTTTATTTTATTTGATTTTTTCTCTCTGACGTCCCTTTATTATGTAAAGCTTCCTATCATTGCCTATAAATTTTGTTATTATTTATATTGTACATAGCTTACTACAACTCCACATGTACACTATTCTCCTGCTCCATCTTGGAGGAGGCTTGTCAGTGCGTCCTCCATTTCCTAGTTAAGTGTAAGTTTTTCTTGATAAAAATGTTAATACCACTCTGTTTGTAAATGGTATTGTGTACAAAATGTTCATTCTTTTTGTATTTGTGTAATGTATGTACAAAACGCATAAATCCTTTCATTTTTGCAGTACTACACGGTTTAATTTGCCCTTTAAATCAAAGATTTGGTAGCTGGAAAAAGGTAAAATTGCATATTGCACTTGTATGTATGTGTGTATGTGTTTGTTATACAATGTGTAATTACCTAAGTGTAATTACCTAAGTGTAGTTACAGGATGAGAGCTACGCTCGTGGTGTCCCGTCTTCGCAAGGCGACAGAGTTAGCATTGCCGGCATTCTTATCCTCGACCAGTGCTACAGGTGAATTAGTGAATGAAATACTACCATAATACCTAAGAGACTCCATTGGGATTCATGATTCCAAATTTTCGGACGGAGCAGATCAGTGGGACAATCTTGCCAACTCTCACCTTCAACCAACTTTTGTAAATAGGCCAAATGGGATCGCCCCACAGGGGAGAACATTGCCTCAGCATTGCTGGAGGCAGCTTCTGGGAAGGACAGAGTGAGTCTTCTAGCTGTGCAGGCACCCCATGCCGGGGACTTCCTGTTGGCTGTCCCTAATTCCACCTTAGGCACCCATCTGGACCATCGGGCCCTAAGTATTGGTGTTGCCCCTGCGCCTTGCCGCCCCTGTCTCCACTGAACACCGGTGTATCTCCAGCTATGACCAATACAGCAGCCATGGTCTCATCTGCCATAAGTCACCGGGAAAGAGTGCCAGAAATGAAGCAGTCAATGACATCATCAAGAGAAGTTTAGCTACGGCTCGGTGTCCAGCACAAAGGGAACTAAAGTTGTGCAGACCTGACAACAGCCACAAGCACCCAGATGGAGTCACCCTGCAGCCATGGAGGGAACGTAAACAGGTCGTCTACATTGGCTGATACCTATCTACCTTACAGCACAGCTGAGGGAGGTGGGGCAGCTACCTCCAGGAAGACCAGAAAAACAACAAGTACAGGGATCTAGAATGTTGTTACAGGTTCATACTGATAGACTCTGAGACTGGGCGCTTGGAGTAACTGTGCACTTAAGTTCCTAAAGAAGGTGGGTGAGGACCTCATTGGGAAAACCAAAGACTCAAGGGTGGCCAGTTTCCTATTCCAGCGCCTCAGTGTCGCGGTCCAGAGGGGAAATGCGTGCTGTATCTTTGGCATGCACCCAACCTTCGAGGTGCTGGATGAGGTCTTCAAGCACTGATTGTTGTATGTGTGTGTGTGTTCTCTGTTAACTGTAGCAATGCAATAAAATAAAATGAATAAAAAAATTAATAGGGGTGGTAGGAGAAGAAAGGATTAAAGTGTTCAGTGAGAACCCACAGGGTCTTCTCTGAATGCTCTTTGTTTTCTTCTTCCAGGCTGTGTGTGTATATATATATTATATATATATTTACTTATTTTGAAACGAACACCTCCCCCGAGCCCTACCAAATGAACAACTCTCCTAGCCCTGTCAAAGGAATAACTCTCCTAGCCCTGCCAAACGAACAACACCCCTAACCCTACCAAATGAACAACACCCCTAGCCCTACCAAACGAACAACACCCCTAGCCCTACCAAACGAACAACACCCCTAGCCCTACCAAACGAACAACACCCCTAGCCCTACCAAATGAACAACACCCCTAGCCCTACCAAACGAACAACACCCCTAGCCCTACCAAACGAACAACACCCCTAGCCCTACCAAATGAACAACACCCCTAGCCCTACCAAACGAACAACACCCCTAGCCCTACCAAATGAACAACACCCCTAGCCCTACCAAACGAACAACTCTCCTAGCCCTAGGTAAAACATCTAAAGGTGAGACCTTCCCCCAGTAGTGGTAGACCGCATCAGTTTAAGGAGATGAAGAGAAGGAAGATACCCATAATGGGCGTCATTATCAGAAAGAACATTGACAAACTAAAGGACTCAAAAGCTCCAGGTGTGAACGAAATTCACGCCAAAGTCGTATAAAAACTGGTAGAAGTACTTTGCCTACTATTGAAACTCCCTTTCAGAAAATCTCTGGGCCAAATGATAGTTCTCCCTAGATTGGAAATCTGCACCGAAATTAATTGCCAGTGGCTCGAGTCTGGGGAGACTCGCTGGGTCCACCCACTCGGGCAATACAATGTTAACCTCTCATCTTGAGATAGTTATCTTGAGATGATTTCGGGGCTTTAATGTCACCGCGGCCCGGTCCTCGACCAGGCCTCCACCCCCAGGAAGCAGCTCGTGACAGGTGACTAACACCCATGTACCTATTTTACTGCTAGGTAACAGGGGCATAGGGTGAAAGAAACTCTGTCCATTGTTTCTCGCCGGCGCTCGGGATCGAACCCAGGACCACAGGATCACAAGTACAGTGTGCTGTCCGCTCGGCCGACCGGCTCCCTTATCTCATACCGACCTCATACACTGTTACTGTATTACATTGTTAGTTTACCCATGGATATAATAGTCTACCTCAAAACTGGTCATGCCCGTGCCACCTTTTGGGTGGCTTAATCTTTATCAATCAACTGGCCACTTTCTAAATAATGTTTATGGACCTTAGGATGTGTTGGGTTAACACTGGCGCCGTGTAAATTTTAAATTAAAATTGTTCTTATGAAGCCCAGATTATGTCTATCACATCAGTGAGCTTCACTTAGTAACTATATGCCTACTAAGTAGAAGATTTTAGCTGATAATAGCATTATATTGTAATTTAATATTGAGTAATAATTTGTGTACGGAATGTACAAATATTGTTTGCAAAATGGTGAAAATATGTCTTATATACCATCTGACATGTTCCTAACCCAACAACAGCAGCAGCATTGCTGTAATTTAATGATATCATGACAAGTGGGAGACGTTTGACAAGCCGCCTGCTTCCTGTCTTCGTCGAGGCCACTAAAGAGATGGTAGTCCTAAGGTAAATTTAAGTAATTTATGGAATTCAAATTAAGTCCCTTGACAAACTAACATAGAAAACGTAAAGCTTGCACTAAAGAAATAGAAGCGATCAGCTGAGGCCATCAAAACAACAACAGAGCCTGCCGGAGGCTCAGTACTCGCAGTCACGATCCCTGGTTCGTCCTCGCCCCTCAATTACCAACAATAACTCGCAGTCACCAGAAAGGGTTTAAACCTTCACGTAAACTGCGCATATCATAAAGAAGTGCTCGCATCTAACTCTAGGTTCAATCTTGAGGCGTGAACGTCTGGACACGGGTTCGTTTAGGGCCGCCGGTTAACGGAACATTATTGCTCTTTGTGTCACAATACTGCCGTCTGGCATTTCTCTTCAACAGGCTGCTTTTGACGTCTTATCGTCTGGGGGTCTCAGGGAAGTTGATAGATTATTTTTGTTTTCCCGTTTTCTGGCAGGTTCTTCGGGTGGGGAGTTGTTGTCCAACGCCGGCTTGGCCGATAGGTGTCAGTTGGTGGGCTCTTGGTGTGCCCATAGGGTTTTACTGCCTACTAGTGGGTTGGTGGGTGGTTGGCTGCTGCTCTGCCAGGGGTTACTGGAAGACGTTGGTAAATTTTGCCCATTTTGAGTATTGAGGGGCTTTGTGCTTTAGCTGTGGCTTTGACGTTATTCTGCTTCCCACTGGAGTCCTGATGCATTGTTGTCTTGGGTCACTGGGTATCGATAGACAGCCTTCCTGTTGGTGCTATGTGTAGAGTGGGTACTGATTCTCGCCTCCCTGGGGGCATGCTTGTGTGTAATTGGGCACCTGCTGTGCAGTGCATTTCTCTGCCATAAGGTGCAGGTTTTTCTCTGTTGACTGGCAACATATGCCCTCCGAACTTAGTTTTTTTTCCTGGCGCATGGGAATGTATTTATAAGAAACAACACTCAAGTCTTGGTTATCAACGCTGATGCATATCCTAACATCGCCACTCATACAATCATTGATAGTTGAAAACATTCATGTAAACTGCAACATGGTTTCCTATTATCAAGGCTCATCGACCCTTTTCTTGGTCAACTACTGACTTCTCTCATGATGCAACCCACAACAATTATCTAACTCCTGAGCACCTATTTACTGTTATGTGAACAGATTCATCAGGTGAAAGGAAATGTGCTCAACCATCTCTGTTCTGCCTGTTAATGGAACCTGCAAACCTTGGTTATGAACCAATAACGTAGATCACTGCACTCCAGGAGACAACACTCGAGTCTAAACTAACCTGGGTAGTGACACATTTCTTTAAGCAATATACACTTATAAAGGAGAATAAGAAGAATATGACCTCTACAAAATTTATCAGTGAAGTTCGTCAAACTTTAACAAGGTATTTAACGGCTAACTGAAATGTATAAAATTCATAGTTATTAAGGCAAGGCATGTAAAATTACTTTATTTCATTTGTTATGTACCTTGTACAGTATCAATATAATATCAAATAAATCCCATTTAAGTAAAAGGTTCTTATAGTGTAGAATGCTGTATAAACTAAAGGAATTTTGCTGATTGAGTACCTACTGCATATAACAAAAGTCACAGTGAATATTATGCAGTGCTAATTCCAAAAAATATATCATATCATCTAAGAAAAACAGTAGGCAATGTTTACTTGAGGTGTGCATCTGCTCCATGGCATTGGGACGGTCTATATATAGATCACATGTTCCACAATTGTCTATTTACAACTGTTCTTTCACCCAATGGAATGACTCATATAGCCCAGATCTGGCTCCAAGTGACTATTATCTTGCTTTGAAACTTGAAGTCTCACCTTCATATGTGCTACCTTCAGAATGATGATGAGCTGAAAGTGGCTACTGAAGACGGGGTTTGAACAATTAGTAAAGTGTATTGAAGTCATGGGAGACTAATGAGAAATAAAATAAGAGTTTCTGTTTCTATTTTATATGACCAGTTTACAGAACCCTTTTGATTGCCCCTAATTCTTGACTAATTAGCATATTCTATGAGTATTTTATTTTGTGTTACAGGGCCTTTCTATTTTATTATTTCTGATAAAATAACTATATATATTTTTCTTTCAGATGTTTGCTCCAACATTATATAGGAAGCGCATTAAAAACTGGCAGAAGCATACATAGGTCGCATATTCGCATAAATATAGCCAAGGAATCCAAAGAGACTGTATCGGATGCTCTTAACCTGTCATCTTTTCCACTAGACCGTATAAGGAACTTCTCTATAATTGCTCATGTTGATCATGGCAAAAGTACTCTTGCAGATCGTATATTGGAAGTAACAGGTAATATTTAGAGATTTTGGTACAGGGTACTTTACTATTGTATACCATAGTTCTCATACAAGCTTTGATATATTGTACAGTATATTATTATTGCACAGTGCACTCATTAAACCATACATTTAAAGAAAACACCAAATGAGTTGTATACTTTAATTCATAAAATATTTTTCTTGGTAAGCTATATAAAATTCATTATACAGTACTTACTATAATGTATATCTCAAACACAAAAATATTTATAGAAATGCAGCAACATTACAGACATTTTTAAGAGCTTAACATTACTGAGTCAAGAGACTGGGACCACAGCCTGTGAGCAAAATGTAAAAAAGAACCCAAACCCAACTGGGAAAATCTAGAGGCCAAGGAGCTGAAGGACGAGCTGCAGCATGTTGCAACATTGAAACAAGAATGTGTTCAGAACCTGGACAAATGCATGGTTATGGTTACTGAACTGAATCTGTAGCATTTCTTGCTGACAGAACTCCACAGAGATAAGACCATGGAAACCTGCAGAGAGGCAGAATCAAGAGAAAATCCCTCTGGCTAAATGTAACAAGGCTGCAAAAAAAAAAAAATGGTGCAAACGTGGCTCAGCCCCTGACACTATCTCTCTCCTATGGCAGGGTGGGTTTCAGGATTTTTAGGGTTCATTTAGGATTCGTTTCTTAAACAAATTCTAAAAATCCTGTAGCAAAGCAAGAAATCGTGTCATTTCTTGCTTTGATACAGGTCAGGGTTGTTCAGAAAGATGGCTATTGTGCTGATACTGTACATAGTGTTGCCCTTCTCTTGACTGCATATTCATGTCTGAACCAACAGCAAGACTTTCCCTAAGGAAAACAACCAATTGCATTGCTTATGGAGCAGCTTTTCATCGATACTCAAAGCCTTGTTTTGTAAACATTTATTCTTCATTCAGTAAATATCTTTGTCTTTGCCTTGTGTGCATTTTATTTAATTTCTTGCTAACTCAAAGCCTTGTTCATTACAGGTGCAATAAAAAAGGACACTGACAACAAGCAGGTTTTGGACAAGCTACAGGTAGAACAAGAACGAGGAATCACAGTCAAGGCTCAGACTGCTTCAGTTGTTTATCAATATAATGACCAGGTAAATATATGAGAGACAACTTTTAACCAAGGGCCAAAATTGGTGGACTATAGTTTGTAAAGTGTCAGTACATGTATTATGATTTTAAATTTATTTTGTATTGAGTTAAGGAAATGGGCTAGTGAATTTTGAGATAGTTTAATCATATTGAATCATTATACAAAAATATTTTATAATAATGTGTTTTTGTAATAATGTGTATTATTATAATAATGTGTATACTGTATTTTATAATAATGTGTATAATAATGCAAATTTAAAGTAGGAAAGGAATGCCAAACACGAAGGGTAAACATAGTGAACAACACTCAAAAAGTGATAAGAAATAAGGCTATATGAAATTAGATTGTTAATACCTTAGTACTTTATTAGTGCTGAAAAGACATTTGTTTGCATTCATATAAAAAGTTCTTTTTATAGTATGATAGTGGGTAGTCATCTCACGACCTAGGAAATTTGAAATAAATATTGTAACGTGCTGTCATCTGGTGGCAGCAGTCCCAAACACTAGTCCTATCATGCCAATACTACCCCCTTCTCTGCAGCATATTTCAGTATACTGTAGTTATTTTATTTATTCTATTTTCTATATAACTTACGTGTGTTATAGTGTCTCGAGTTGCATATCCTATTTAAACTTGTACAGTGTATATTTCTAAGTAAAATTATGCATACTGGCATAGATTATGTTCTGGTGCAGCATAGCCAAGTTATAAGAATTGCACCAGGCCTGTGAGACCCTTTGCTGGCCTACCTATCTGGCACTCTGTAGATAGAGAAGAAACTCCAAAAATCTCCAACAAAATATTCTAAAATGCCCAACAAAATACTCCAATATGCCAAACAAAATATTCCAAAACACCCAACAAAAAATTCCAAAACAACCAAGAAAAAATTCCAAAACACCCAACAAAAAATTCTAAAGCACCCAACAAAAAATTTGAAATCGCCTGACAAAAAATTCCAAAATGCCCAACAAAAAATTCCAATGAAAATCATTAAAAATGTGATTGGAGCCATGTTAAAAGTTACCATTCACACCTAATATTTTCCATGCTCTGTGGGCTGATTTCACTGAGCAAAATTGTAATTGCAGCCTGTCATATGAAGTGCCACAACCAAGATAACCTGTCTGTAAAGAGATTGAGTAATATCTAGTATATTTCCCATGCCCAAGCCTTGAAATCTCATTTTTAAAGGGAAAAAGGGCCTATAGTTTACTGAAAAAAACCTCTGCAACTGGAAAAAACAAAAAACATAGAACTTGGATTTAAATATACACAGTGGCTTTCCCAAGGCTCAAACTATTTCTTGTGATCTCATTTCTGGCCCCCATCTATGAACTTGGTCCCACCATCCTAAACAAATCCACACACATCCCCTGCTTTAGTAAACTCTTGCTCGTCAAATCGGGTGAGTAAATGTGGCATGGAAAGTGTGTGTTCCAACCAGAGATTCACCGAATCAAGGTTCTTTGAATCGAAGTTCCACTGTATATTATAGTGTGTCTAAAAGCTTGGGTCAGGGGAATCTGGTTGTTGGTTTGGTACCACCACCTGATGTTATGTTGCATCTGTGTTGTACATTCAGAATTGTTTATTTGTGTGTTTTCTTTTTCAGAAATATCTTCTGAACCTTGTAGACACTCCCGGGCATGTTGATTTCACGTATGAAGTATCAAGATCATTGGCTGCATGTCAAGGAGCCATTCTGTTAGTCGACGCTAATCAGGGTGTACAGGCTCAAACAGTAGCAAATTTTTATTTAGCTTTTATGAATGAATTAGCCATCATTCCAGTGTTAAATAAAATTGACCTAAAAAATGCCAACCCTACAGTTGTAAAAGAGCAATTGATGAACCTTTTTGAAATTGATCCGGATGAAGTTCTCTTGGTAAGTATGATTTTGTTTCAAGTGTGAATATTTTTTGGTGCACAGGTAAGGCAGCAGTTTTGATAATAGCCACATTGTGAGGTGTTGACATGTACCATAATCAGAAGTAGTTATGTGTTTAGGTCTTGTTGAAATTGGGGGAATAGGTACAGCACAATACTGTATTAGATAAAATTGATGAATTGATATACTTTTAAATACAATTTTCAAATTTGCAGGTATCTGCTAAGTTGGGAACAGGTGTAAATGAAGTTATAGAAGCCGTTATTAAAAATGTGCCATCTCCAGAGAAAAAGTGTAACAAAGATGCTCCGGTCCGTGTCTTTCTCTTTGACTCTTGGTTTGATGCATACAAGGTGAGTTAGATTATATTGATTAAAGAAGAGAAATTATCAGATATTATATTTGTGTATGCATGCATTATTACCTATTGGTCTCTGTTTTTATCCAGTACTATGTACTTCATTTCATATTGGCTTCATGAATTTCTTTACGAACAATATTTTTCTTATTTATAGGGTGCCGTGTGCTTGATATTGGTGGTTGACGGAACTTTAAAGAAAGGTGATCATATTACGTCTTCACACACTGGAAAGTCTTATGAAGTAAGAGATTTGGGAATCCTTACACCACTTGAAACTTCAGTACCACAGTTGTAAGATTCAGTAATTTTCTGTTATAGTCTCCTATAGCTTAATAATTATCCTAAACCATTTAATATGCTGGATTGGTTTTAAAACAGCTGAAAATTTTATATTCTTAACAAATTCAAATAATATATAAAAGCCTCATATTTTCCTGCCACAAGAGGTAACACAGACATGCGTCACCTCCAGAAATGATAAGACACACACCTCCTCTACAAGAGGTAACACAGACACACAAACCTCTTCTACAAGAGGTAACACAGACACACAAACCTCCTCTACAAGAGGTAACACAGACACACAAACCTCCTCTACAAGAGGTAACACAGACACAAACCACCTCTACAAGAGGTAACACAGACACATGCTGAGGTCATTCAGCAGGTTAACATGTTTGGTAAAGACATCACCTTCAGAGATTTTTGTAAAAGGTCTAGTTTAACAGTCTCATTTCAAATAAATATTATTTCTGCTGTTGAATACAGTGATGTCAGTTGGTAAAGCCAATACCCTAAAGAGATTAAGCCACTAAAACATATGGCTACTTATTTGATTTTTTTTTTAATCTGCTCTGCAACCCCATTGGGCATTGTACTATAGATATTTGTTCTGCCTAAACTGCAGGTTTACAGGCCAGGTTGGATATTTCACAGCCAACATAAGAGCAGCTAATGAAGCCCAAGTGGGGGACACTTTTCATCGTAAGGGTGCAAAATGTGAACCTCTCAAAGGATTAAAGCCAGCGAAGCCTATGGTATGTTCAAGTGGCTGTTATTAGTGTTTTTACAGGTGAGGTAGCATGGCTTTGCACTTTGACTGTGATTGATAATAATATTGCTTATATTGACATTTGCATTCTGTTTGGTGGTGGTTTGTTTATTTGTACAAAGTGAATCACCCCTTGTGGCAATTTGCTAACTGATCAACAACTGCTAACTGTCTGGAAATTATTGTTTCTGAGAATAGGCACAAAATAAATTGGATAAGCAGCATTGGGTATGTGAGGTGCCTCTGATTTTACATGAGTTTTCAGTTTAGTGGCACCTTCAAAATCTGTTCTAGACACAATCCCGATTGTCACAAAATCAGGGTTTCTGAAATATTTCCATTTTCAGTTATTTATCAAAAATTAATTTAAGTCTTCTTATATCAAATGACACAACACATGTTTCTGCATATTTAGACATAGTGTGTGTAAACAATGATTTCATATGCAAATAAATAATATTTGTATTATTTATTTATAAGAAATAAATGTGAGAGGGGCAAATTAGTATTACCTTAATTTATTAATTTCAGGTCTTTGGTGGTGTGTATCCTATGGATCAGAAAGAACTCCCAGCGCTCAAAGCTGCCATAGAACGTCTTTGCCTGAATGATGGAAGTGTGTCTGTTAGTATTGAATCAAGGTAAGTAGTATGTGTACAGATCTCCAGAACTGCTAATTTTACCCTTGTTGACAGTAAACACACTTCAGATCATTGATGAAGGCTGTTGGGTTCACTTGTTTGATAACTGTGCATCAGTGTAAAGTGTGAGGTTCCAATTATCTGCAACTAGATTAACTGTAGCAAAACCAATCAATACTGTGGTACAAATGTCTGATTATCATTCCAAGTTGTCATATGTGATTGCCTCAAGGTTTACTGTGCCATTTGGCAGGATGTTGAACAGTCAGGCAGGATGACATTCTAACACTGGCATTATGGGAACTTTTCAAACAATACATATTAAGGAGTTACTGGAAAACCTTGACGTGAACACCTCAGGGTTCCATAACCGAGACTTTCATACCAGAAACAGTTGAGGGGCACTACAAACCTGACATGACAGGGTAGATCTTGTTGAAACCTTTAAAATACTGAACAATTTGGAGGATAATGATGCAGACAACTTCTTCAAAACGTCAGATGTAATACAAATAACGAGCAACGGTTTCAAACTCAACAAGCCACAATGTAGGACAGAAAACAGGAGATACTTTTTTGCCCATAGGGTTATAAACCTTTGGAACTGCCTACCTGCCAAATCCGTAAATGCTAAAACACTGCTGAATTTTAAAATCCAGCTTGAAAAAATCATTAAGACAAATGGAGGGACCTTTGACAAGATACCAGCTTCCTGTCCTCATCGAGGCGACTAGAGTGTTAGTGGCCCTCAGGTAAATTCAGGTAAATTCTCACACACTGTGTCTTGTGAAAGTTAGCGAACCACTTCACAGATATAAATGACTTGTAGTTCATATGATAAAACTTGTTTTCTAGTGCACAGTGGCTTATGCTTATATTCTTAAATTGTGTGAAAAGATGCTAAAGAACTCAAAGAAAGATATCGGGAGAGTACAATGTCACCAGAGGATCATATTGTGGGGAGTCCTTTTGGCAATTTTGAGGCTGCTTTTTCATTTTAACTATGCAATAGTCTGTTTTGATTCGCCTATCTTTCTGTGTGCCTTTCCTTGGATGCTGTCATCATGGTGGCAAAGATGATAAACTTTAAATGTAAAGTGTTCATAGACTATCACTCACTGCACCTCTCTAAGGGGGGCCAGATTCTAGCTCATGGTCTCTGGTAGGCCATTAGAACACCACAATTGATGACTCCTTGTAGTATGGCACTTAATCAGTGGGATAGGTTCAGGGAGCCTCCGAGGCTCACTCAGAAACTGGAGTTTTATTACAATCAATGCAGGTTTTATCTGGGGTGGGAGGGGGGGTGGGGGATGGAGGTAGAAGTATAGTATTAATATTATAAATAATGAATTTCTCATAATTTGATGTCGGTAATCTAGGTTTGGTTTAAACAAACTTAGATTATAATAATTAAATATAATATTTAATAATATAATATTTATTATTATAATATTTAATATTATAATATTTAATATTATAATATTTAAATATATGTAATAATATTTCAATATTACAATATTTAATGTTGCATATTCAAAATTATATTTTCAGCTCAGCATTAGGCCAGGGTTGGAGACTTGGATTCCTTGGTCTTTTACACATGGATGTGTTTACGCAGAGACTGGAGCAGGAACATGGGGCACAAGTTATTACAACTACTCCTTCAGTTCCCTACAAGGTTAGCCCCTGCAAGATTATTCTGTAGATGTTGCTTTCTATTACTCCCTAAGGTAAAAATCTATGTATCAAAAACAGGATGACATTTAGGCCCCAGCACAGCCTTCTTCTAGCTCCCATGTGGCTGGTACAGCACTGGTTCCTGGCTTTTCCTAAGGCTCTGCCTTTCTCAGTATGGTTTGAGGCTCTCTGCTAATTTTCACATATGGATCTATTTAGCCATGTACGCATCCTGCCACCTGTATTGGAGTCAAGTGTGGTGGACCATTTGGTTTTACACTTTTGTCTTTCCTTGAGGCAGCAATATGAGGTATAGGTCTTCTATTGCTTTCTTTCTCTTCAGCATCTGTCAACTGTATCAGTTGCAATTGTGATGTCTTTACTTTTCTGGGACTTCCTTAAACCCTTTGTGATGCTTAGTATTGCCACCTCATGTCATTTGACCTTGACAGAGCTTCTCACACTGAGGTTTGGGATGGATGTGTCATCAGCCTCCCTTCCTTGAATTGTCTTGGAAATTCTTTCACTCTGTCCCCCTCCTGAACTATCCTGGTGTTTGGAATCTGGTTTAGGAGTTTTTGTCTTCTCACTTTCCACTTTCCCTTCATTTGAGGACTTTTACTTCTCACTCTTGCTTCCAGCTGTTGGATGGGGAAGCTTTGCACCCTTTGTTGAGAGCATGGTTTCTGTTCCTTTGGGCTGGGCAATAGCTTTTCTTGCCTTAATTTTTGGCCAAGATTGAGACTTCTGCATTCCTGAGGAATCTGTTCGTCAGTGATGCTTGATTTGTCTGGTTGAGGGTGCATCATATGTTGTGTTCCATGGTTACTATATGGCATTATTTGCATGCTACCCATATTCTTAAGAGTGAGGCCTTGTTTGTTAACCCTCTAATTACATCATCAAAAAGTAATGTCATTGTACAAAAAAAAAAAAAAAAAAAATTGAAATTGGGGCTTGTTCTCATGATGTCTGGAATTTTCCTGCTCTAATGGCTTTCATTGCCAGTATGTCCACAACTAACATCTGGGCTCAGACATTTTTGCAGTTCAAAAGGGCCTTGACACGATTATATTTGCTCTTGGGTATTTTGTACAAAGTTGATGTTCTTTTGCCCTGGGCTTTCTTCTGCCTTCTTCCATGGATAAGCCCTGGCTGCATATATCTGTTAAATAATTTGATCTTTTTCAGAAATATCAGACTCCAGTTTCTTGTATGTAATGAAATGCCCTTTCCTGTTGTGCCCTTTCAGTAGGCATTAGTCCCCACCTTGTTGATTCTATTTAGTGGGAGGAGTTGGGTTTGGGCAGCTTGTGAGTGAGGGGGAACATGTTGTCTGTGACCCCAGGAAACTTGAACTACCACCTGATGGCAGCTGGGGGCAACTATTAGGTGTCTTTTTAAATCATGGTATCTAATTTTCTTGAAGCCGCTGCTTGTTTTGTTACTCTTATGCTTTCTAATAGGGGAAGGGGGTTCTCAGTTCTGAATTAATCTCAGACTCTTGTATAGAACCAGATTCTGGTTGTGGCTTCCGGTGGTCTCGAGTGCTATCGCTATGGGAAGCTACTGAGTTGTGCACTGGAAAGGGCGTTTCATTACAATTAATTCAGGATTTGTTACAAATAATTTAAAACATTGTGTTTATCATGATGGGACAGGGTGATTAATGCATATCTAATTACTTTACCATTATTATATTATTTTTATAATATTAATTATTATAGTATTTCCTCAGGTCAAAGTGAAAGGCAGTAAAGTCATACGTCACTACGGTGGAGAAGAAGTGATCATCACTAACCCATCATGGTGGCCAGAAACATTTAACATTATAGAGACAAGTGAACCATTTGTGATGAGTACTATTATCACACCTGGTTAGTTTTATTTTATAATAAAATTTTCTTTTAAATCTATATTTAATTATGAAATATATACATTACTAAGAAAATTTCCATTGCTTAGTATCTAACGAATTATTTTTAATGAAAAGAAAGACCTTAACATTCAAGCACCATGTTTTATTGCTATCTATGTTTTAATCTTCAATTTTGTATAGGAACTTATGATATAATTTACCTGTGATTGTCTCGTTATCCTAATGGACAGATTCAAGTTATTGATGTGCGTTTAAGAGTCCAGTAGTACTGGTATTGTTAAGCTTAGTCCTTCTATTTCCTGCATCACATTGTGAAAAAATTGCTGTGGTTAATATTATGCAGTTTCACACACGTTTCTAATTTTCTTTAAATATGACATGACATCATGCATCTTACATTATCAATCTAAATTTCATATTCTGGGGCAGCCTCTTCAGTGGCTTCTCAGAGCTAAAGCACTGGTACTCCACGCCGTGGATCTAATTATCTGGACCCGCTGATATTCCTGGGAGTTTGACAAATTTAAAATTCAGATAATTTAAGAAAATATGCTGTAATGGGATGGAACTTTTCAACAATTTTTTTTATATTTTATGTATAGTATATTTTAACAGACATGTGGGTGTCAGTGTCCCCCTGTGGGCCATCTGTTGTTCCTGGACCTACAGCTGACTGTCCTTGTGTTTGCTGGTGGTTGGTTCTCTTCTGCATGTCTGTGGTGGGGGCCTTTTGTTGCTGTGGCTATAATTTTTATTTTTTTTTGTCTAAGACTTATGTGGGTTCAGGATTTTTAATGATCCATCATGGTGTTGGGCTTGCACCTATTGTTCCTCTACATTAAGACCCTTGGGAACTCTCCATTCCTACCCTGATTCCTTCTTCCTAGTGGGATGTTTGGGGTTCTGTACTGGTGGTTCATGAATGAGGTGGGTTCCTGGCTGGTTCCTGTGTGGTTGTAGTCAGGTGTATCAAGGTTTGTTCTATTTGCCCAGGGCAATGATCATTTGCCTTTTCCTCAGATTTTTTTTCTTTCTTTCTTTGTGCAGTAATAGTATGTTTTGCTTTGCCTATCTTTCTAATGGGTTTTTATTGGTTTCAATCAGTCTGATTCCCATGTTTTTCTTGCCTTGTAGATTCAAGTCCTGGGTTCAAGTAAGTCAGTGTTGGTCTCAGGTCTGGTGTACTTCTCAAGGTTTGACTACACCCGACTCAAAACTTCCCAGACTAGCTATGTGGCGTTACTGAAGGCCCACCAGAAAATGGTGTTTAATTTAATTTAAAGCTTAATTTTGTTACCTGTCTCTTAAATTTGTTACCTATGTTATTTTGATATGAACTTTTAAAAGTACGATCCATGGTTCCTTGTTTCTTTCATAAAAGATATGTGCTTAAGTCAGTGTATATATTTTGCAGATACCTACTTGGGTGCAATTATTGGATTGTGTCAAGGCAGGCGAGGAGTTCAACATAGCATTAGAAATTTAGATCACTGCAGAATAATCATGCAATATAAACTACCATTAAACGAAATTGTAGTGGACTTTTATGATACTTTAAAGTCGTTATCATCAGGTTATGCAACATTTGACTATGAAGATATGGGATATGAGCCTTCTCACCTAGTAAAGGTATGTGTGTAAGAGTACATAAACATTTCTTTAAATTTAGATTCCTTTAACTGGTGCAAAACTGTATTTATATTTTATTTTTTAGGGATATAATGGAATTCACTGTAATATGTACTGCATATACAGTACAGTATGTTGTTTTATTCAGTATCAGGTTGTATATATATATTATACAGTATAGGGGGCTCCCACACAAATGCAATCTGCCTCTTGAGAAAGCCACATGCAACAAAATCAGCCACTTCCATTGGTCAAAACTGGGTAGCATCAGTTAAACAAGTATTATAAGATTTTTGGTTGATATACTGTGAGTAAATATCATTAACAAATATGTACAATATACTGTAATTTAACAATTGTAAGTAATAATAATGATAATTTTATTTAATAGATATACATAAGAATTAACCACATACAGTGGTTAATTAATAGATACAGAATATGTGTATTGAATAAAGTCATTAATATGCAACACATTTCAGGCATGAATTAATTACAGCACAATATAAATGTTATATTTGTTAAACTGATTCAGACCACACAGCAAATTTTTAGGGTAATGGAAAAATATGGGTTAGAGAATGTTTTAAGGAATTATACTTTAAAATTTAGTCATACTTCACTAAATACTTCATCTGAATTTTTTTGTTTGTCCATAGCTTGATATTCTGCTAAATAATCATGCTGTACCTGAGCTTTCAACAATTGTCCATATTTCTCAAGCGAGAATAATGGGAAAACGAATTTGTGAGACTCTAATGGAAACTTTACCCAGACAATTGTTCCAGGTATGTGAAAACTATGTACAGGTAGTAAATATTGGAGAACATTTTTATCCATGATGTACTGTAATTACATGTTTCTTATTCATTTTTGTATTATAGCAACACCCCCTGCAATTTTCATAAGTACACTCTGAGGTAGCGTGTGTGTGTGTTTTCTGTATAGCAGTTTCAACAGTGCCTCTTAATATTAAATTTTCTGAGAGAATATGGGAAGAGGGGGGAAATATTGGGAGATAGAGGAGAGAAAGGTGGAGAGGAGAGACGGAAAGAGAGAGGGAAGGGAGAGACAGAGACCGCGGGCACAGCCATGCTACACCATCTAATACTGTATAAACAGTACCATATTTGTTTATGTATTCACTGCCTACCTAAAGATATTTAAGGTGCAATAGTTATATTTGCTTCCAGATTGCAATACAAGCTGCCACTGGAGGAGAGATCCTGGCACGATGCAACATAAAAGCTGCTCGGAAAGATGTTCTTGCCAAGTGTGTAAGTTGAACATTTTTTAACTGTTTAACCTTCATTTTAGTTATTCCTGATAGGAATTGCTTATGTTTTTGTCATGTATATTTTTCCAAGTCATTCTCCTCAGATGCTCCATCTGAGGAGAATTTGACTTGATTTGTTTATAAGGACATATCATGCCAGTCAAGGCAAGATGACATTTCAGAAATCTCTGTTTGGTCATGCTGGTACTAGGAAGGCACTAGACAAAAATTTGATCCAGTTTGGAGTGTCCTTAGAAGGTTCATTCATAAACACATTAGCCCCTCCAAGCTTAACATGATACATTGAGGACTGCCAAGTAGCACTCTTGCTTATTGCCAATTTGCTTATTGCCAATGATCTGAATTTTGATTCCTGTAAAACAGGACTTCATTAAATTCCACTGTAGTACTGGGAGTCTAATATATTTTGAATCACACTTTTACCTATTAAAAGTGCCAAGCATAATGAGTAAAAATTTTGAAACTGTCTGTTTGGCTTTCAAAATGTGATTTTTTATTATTTCAGTATGGAGGTGACATTTCAAGAAAGATGAAACTGTTGAAGCGTCAAGCAGAAGGAAAAAAGAGAATGAAGATGTACGGAAATATTGAGGTACCCAGGGAGACATTCATTAATATTTTAAAAAGATAGTACAGTAGAGATTATATAAATTGTGAATTGAATTAATTATGGATACAACTGCTTAGGAACCTCATTTTTTGTACATATAATTCAATAAAAAGCAGTGCCACTATTAATGTGAAAGTTTTTCAGTTAGTACATGCGATCTTCTGACAAAGTGTATACTGTACCAGTGTTCTTTTAGTTGTGCTATGATTAAGATTTTAAATTAAATAAAATCAAATGAAATTTTTGCTCACACCCAGTCTCAGATTTTCCTGGGACTATAAATCTCTTAATTTTCATATTTAAAGGTTTCTCAGAACCTCTCAGTATTGTAGAAAATAATAAAAAATATTTTAACTACTAAAAAGTTGACTTAATTTGTTTATTGGCAGATGTTACTTGCCTTGTTTGTAAAATGTACTATGATGATGAATATAAAATAAATATGGGTTTAATGCTTTAATCTAGTACTGTATTTTGTACTTTATACCTTCATTACTACTGTATTTTAAATTGAAAATGATCATTCCAGATTGGCAGAGAAATTATTGTTTGCACTTGGCTTTATATTTAACATTTAGATTTTTTGCTTTGGTCTTGTGCCTGATCTAAGCTTCAGATAATCATGTGAATGAAAAAGAAAGCTCAAAAGGCTAATGATAAGAGGGCACCTTTCAGATGATTTTGAGACTTTGTAAAGTGATCTACATGAATTCTACAAATATTGAAAAATTGCATGACCTTACAATTTGCAAGAGGACATAGCAACATACCATATTTTCCATCTCAACAACTATGCAGCAGTCAGGTAAAGAAAACAACCTAGAAATTATGATCCACCAGTTAGTGAAAGTTTTTTTTGCAAGTGGGAGTTACGGTACAAAAGCGCTTACTAACTTTAGGAATAATGAAATTGAACATACTTGGCCTACACTATCTTGAAAAGAAGTGGGACATGCTACAGTCGGTGACTCGGAGAGGTCTGAATTCACAGGCATCAGTGACGGGACTGAGGCTAAGATGACATAGGAGACAGTATACATTGCACCTTCATATTGATGTACCTGCCTTGAAAGTAAAGAGGCAGTATTAAGGACAGAGAACAGTAGGGAGGTAGGGACAGAATGGAAGTAAGGGAGGGAAGGATAGAGAATGAGAGGGGGAAGGGAAGGGATGAGAAGAGAATTATTAAGAGAAAGCCTGAAGCCATTATGATTATATAGTACATGCAAGGGATCCAGATAAGGATTTGGGATGGGAAGAAAGGGAAGGGGAGGGGGGAAGGAAGGAAGGAATGGTGCCCAACAACTTGGACGGTCAGGAATTGAACGCCAACCTGCATGAAGCAAGACCATTGCTCTACCGTCTAGCCTAAGTAGTTGGACGAATGGGAGGGGGAGAGAAAGATTGGTAGGGAAGGATAGAAAATAAGAGAGAGGGAGGAAGAGAGACTGGGTGAAAGAGAGAATGGGAGGAATAGAGGGAGATAGAACAGGCAGGAAGGAGAATGGAAGAGAGAATAGGAGGGGACAGATAATGGAAATGAGTGAGAAAAAATCCAGGACTACAGAAAACTCAGTGTATATAGACCTAGAGATAGTATCATCTCTGTACATCTCTGGATGTATATATCTTCATTTTATTTATTTTGGTAGGATGAAAGAAAATGTCTGAGAAGGTGTAGGTCACGAACAATTGTCACCCAATGACTGGTTTAGATATACAGTATTTACAGATGCAAGAATAATCACAAAAAAACAAGCGATTCGGTTTTTCATAAGTATCCACTAGGAATTCGAAATACAAATTCCGAATGTTTTCGTGCATCACCACATTATCAAGGAATTCCTTCACCATATTATCAAGGAATTCCTTGATATGGGAGGGGAAATTCCTTGATAATGTGGTGAGACTCGAAAACGTTTGGAATTTTCGTCTAATTTTCCTAGTGGATACTCATGCATATTTACAGATGCGTAAGTATCCTCTAGGAAAATTCTTTCAGATTTAGTCCAATTGCACCCATTTGAAACGTTTCCTGTTGTCCCATGTTGGGATATAGGATATCAGGGACAACATCAATTAAAATATATTAGAAGTAAACAAAATGTAAACCACCACCACAATTACCACCAACACTACACACAACTACTAACCACCATCACTCCATGCAACAACAACCATCACCACTGCCTCCATCACTCTACACAACCACCCACCTCCACCACTGCACACAACCACCCACCTCCACCACCATCACTCTACGCAACCACCCTCCCACAACCACTGCACACAACCACCCACCTCCACCACCATCATCCCACACATCAAGGGGAAGGTCCAGGATGCTCAGCATGACCTTCAATTAAATTTGGCTGTCACGACTGAAGATGTGACGTTTTTGTTTGTATTTTACGTTACGGAGTCATGAGTGGCAGTGATGCCAACTTGGAGTCATGCTCTAGTAAGTTTTATACAGGAATTAAACAAATTCATAACACATTCGCCACAAGTATATATTGTGTATCGTTCATAGGATGAACACGGAGTGCACAATAAACTACCGCTCACAGGATGAGTATGGGATGTATAGTAAACTACTGCTCATGGGATTAATATGCAGGGTACATGCATACAGAATGAGTAAGGGGTACACACTAGCCCAATTGCACTCATGTTGGATATCCCAATCGACTTGAGAATGGTCCAGGACGGACCGAAACGTCGTCGTCCCTTCATTTTCTAGTGTGTGTGGATTGGTCGACACACTACACTGTTGATCGAGTATATATGAGGTGCACAATAAGCTACTGATCGAGTATACATGGAGTGCACAATAAACCAAGTGTTCACAGGATGAATATGGGGTGCACAACCATTGAATTATTTTTTTTTGCCAATGCATGGAACGTAAGTTTATATCTATCTCAAAATGGCCATAGTTTCTATACATTATAAAATAAAATGCTGTGGACGGCAGCGTGTGCGCCTGCCAAATGGTGGCAACAATTCAGTGTGTAGTGATGGGTGCTAGTTAGTTTAGTTCATCTATCATGCACCCCATACCCATCTTGCGGGCGGTAGTGGAAAGGGTTACAGAGGCACACATAATGGGCTCAGGGACTGAACCCCCCACAATTCATTTAGCTAAACAAGTTACAATCTTGATAAGCTAGTTACAGAATTCAGTATAAGTCGTCACATCAACAATGGGCTCGAGGCTAGCAATGTGTGTAGTGTTAGGGGCGCGAGGGACCAGTTGGCAACGCACAGTGTGGTGGTGAAGGTCGTCAGGGAGTCCCCAACACGAGGCAGTCTCCAGCACTCCTCCACACACGGTGGTGGTCGAGCACCTGGACTCTGGCTTCACACAACGCCAGTTTGTCCAGCTTCTCTCACAACCCAGGGCTGTTATACCCGCTCGACTGCACTTATATCTTTAGTGATGCGTTTGGTTGGATATGTTGGCTCAGTCGTGAACCTGGAACGTGGACGTATTTTGAAAATTTAATTGTTCTCGAGAGGTCTATATAGATTGGATAACAATGGTAAGTTAAACATTTGGTAATTACACAGTTGGTTGATAACTCAAACTAATCACAGTAAGGTGACACATAATATACATACACAAAAATTAATTAACTATTGTTAATAGACTAACCCTGTGTATTACATTGTCTATCTCAGAAACGGATGAACTAATACCACTTTTTACGCCTTTAAGGCAACAGACTAACATTATATAATGATTGTTTGGCAAAGGTCGAGTCCACAAACACGACCGAGTGAAGTAAATATAAAATTCAGTAACTTGCATGTTGTATACTTCATATACTGTATTGCTTTGAATTTGAAAAGTTGCATAGGCTACTGACCCCATCAACATTTCCTAGACCAGTGGTTCCCAAAATGTTAAGTCTTATTCCTACTTTTCCAACCACGTTCTGATCTGTGGACCTCTACAACCCACTTTTCTTACCCGTGGATCCCCTACAGCAAAACAGATAAGAGATAGTAAAATTGACGGCAGCCATTAGTGCGACAATACATACATTCGTATGTCACAACTTGTTATTCTCTGCTAAAACTACATGTAAATTTTAAGAGGAGACATTCAGTTCAACCCACTCGTAAGTGGTTATTTTGTTTTATCAAGAAAAAGCACCAAACCATTACTACTACTGTATATAGCACTTGGAAGGGGTCAGGATTAGGAGTTGCAATGGGACGGGGGGACAGAAATGGTACTTGGACGGTTGGGGGTTGAACGCCAGAGTACAGTACAGTATATAGCAGTGGTCCCTTTGACCCCATGATCTATGGACCACAGAGTTTTCCTTGGAGCTGTCTCCGGATGTGGAAAATACGTACACCTTGCATTGGAGACTACAGAGAAGTTGTGGTTTTACCGCGTTCTCAAGTAGCACTACTGCAATATGAAGATGATATCTGTAAGCACACATACACCTATACTATGTAACCGTATGCTACTTTTCCCGGCTTGACGCCTTCTTTTGATAATTATTTACTATCATACCCGTGTACGACTGTAATAATTTACACCATTTGTGTAATTTACACAAGTATCTACACAACTCGTTAAGACGAAGCTTGTGGGATCAGACGAGATATCGCCAAGGATACTGTAAGAGGCTAATTAGGGTACTGAGACTAATAAATAACATCACGGTAAAGAGCTAATGCCGTACATATATCTACAAAAAAGAAAGACGGCAGGGGTCATTGAACTGCTACTGACAAGCTTTCCCTGCAAAGTTTTAGAGATACTAATCTTGAAAAGTCTCTTGGACTGTATATAATATATATATTGGGAAGGTTTCGAAATACTATTTGTTCAACGAAGGTAGATCACGTAAACCCAATACAATAGGAGAGAGAAGGGCGGGAAGACCGTCTTCCTTGGTTGTCAGAAAGTGTTTGATGCTGTCCCGCAAGAATGGCTACTGTACAAATTGAGAACAAAGCCGACACAAGTGCTGAGATGGGTGAGAAGGTATCTCTTAATAATAATAATTAATTCTAATAATAACTTCCGTTGTGCGGGGACAGAAAGTATATATATTTGTGTGTATATATATATATGTATATACACGGCTTGTATGGAGGCCCCCATTCTTCCAGGTCAAGCTACTGGTTTTATTTAGGCTGCACCCACAAAAACAATAGCCTAATCCCTGATACCTATTTACTGCTAGGAGAACAGAGGCATTAAGTGAAAAACTTGCCCATCCATTTCTGTTCCGCCCGTAAATAGAACTCGGGATCCCCGATTCTGAGTCGAGAACAAAGCTAACCGTACTTCGAGACTCATAGCTAGGTAGGTAGGGAACAGATGGTAACAGTGATATAAAAACACTGCATAAGGGGAGATATGGTGGTGGAAACTGAGAGGCCACGATTGGAAACTGAGAGACCACGGGTGGAAACTGAGAGACCACGGGTGGAAACTGAGAGACCACGGGTGGAAACTGAGAGACCACGGATGGAAACTGAGAGACCACGGGTGGAAACTGAGAGACCACGGGTGGAAACTGAGAGACCACGGGTGGAAACTGAGAGACCACGGGTGGAAACTGAGAGACCACGGGTGGGCACTGAACTCGACGTGAAGGGGGTTAGAAATAGCATAAGCTACTCTATCCCTTTGAGATGTATTTTATTGTCTCAATAAACGTACTTGAACTTGAACTAGAGACAATAGAGCCGGAGAGATGTAAGGAAAACTTTTAACAAGCTTGAGTTAAAATAAGACAAGAAAAAAGAGGAATGTTATTGCAATAACTAATTATATATAGGAGCGGCGCTCAACTCCTGCAAGGTCATTGTATCCACTGGACACACATTTCCTCCCCGGGGCAATCGGCTGAAGGGGAATGCCGCTGCTGACATAACGGTGTTTCTGGAATTCGGTCTTTGTCTAGTACGACGATTTTTTTTGGAGGGGGAGGGGGTGTGAATGATATGATTCACGGGATTCGCAGATTGTATCCTATGACCCGCGAGCTGCTAAGGTGTATTGTATGATGCAAGATCTCTGGTGTCTCTCAGTATCGTTGCCACATTTTCCTACGATACGTTGCCCACTTCTCCGGGTTAGGATATCACCCTACGTAAGTCGGAAACGATTAATGACGATGGTTATCTCAAGTTATCCTGCGTCTGCATGACCCTCACTCTATTAGTGAAGTTGTAAATGTCTCAAATCACTTTACATTAAAAATGTTAACTGCTGGAAACGTCAATTAACGAGTTAACGCCAAGTGTAAACAGCTCTCAGTAAACCTGCGCCGGTTGTCAGTGTTGCCATTAATTTGCTTAACTAAAACGAATTTATATTTTAATATATAAATTCGTTGGACTTCAGTTCCTGATGCCCACTGTGTCCCTCTGTAACCCTTTTCACTACCTCACAGAGGATGGGCACGGGGATACATAGTCAATAAACTCAACTAAACTAACATGACTCCTATGTACTTTGTACACACATTCTTTTGAATATAAATTTGAAATTGAATTTGAATTAACCGCAAGCTAGGAGGCCGTGTTAATGGTGTCTACTGGAACCTGGTACCTGCCTACAGGTCGTGTGGGTCGCCAAAGCTTGCCGTAATTTAACGTGTCATTATTCCCACAACTGTACTAAAATTCGCTGCTTATTCTTTTACATTCTTTAGGAACATGGAATGGGTTATTTATCGAGAATTTCAGAGCAGTACTTATGCTTAGAGTATATGATTCTTGATCTGAAAATGAGTTGGAAATCGGGTCTGGCAACGCTGTATAAATCATTAACAGCTGATTCACCTGATTGCACTCAGCTCTTCTGAACATAACTGTAACATTCTTACTTCGGAGTCAAGACATATATAGCCTTAAATAAATAAAGATGAAATAAATGTCTGCCTACTATGGATCCCATCCTATATATTTGCCTCCAGATGAATGATAAAACTGATGATGTAATCAAAGCATTTGTTTTTATAATGAACAAACTTGGATTCCATATGAACAGCGCAATGAGAGTATTATAAAGATAATTCCAGCGAAATTGCATTGATATAAGAGATAATTTAATTAGGTAATGATGGACTCGATATCTATCCCGCCGTGGTCTGTGGTAGAATGGTCTACGAATGGTACCGAATGGTGTAGAATGGTACAGTGGTCTACGTTTATGACTTATAAACTAGGATCCCGGGTTCGAACCTCTGCGAGACAGATGTGATTGCCAACTCCAGTACTTTTTCTCATTCTCGTATCAGATATAGACAAGGACATATTGTAGTACTGTGTCATGCGTCGCAGATGACCTTAGGCTTTTTATGAAAGTGGACAATATAGAGGACAGCAAACCTAGCTGATGTGTCTTTCCATGGACCACAGAAATCAACATGATGTTCAAGGGAGACAAGTTCTAGCGTTTCTGCTATGATAAACACGAAAATATCAAAACGGAAACCACATTTAAAGCAGAATTAAATCACACTATAGAAAGAAAAAATATAAAAGGTTTTACCTTTGAGTAATTATGTCGAAAATCCTTATATTTTAAAAACACACTAAAGTAGTCATCACAACAGCAAGAAAAGTGACAGGCTAAATAACAAGAACCTTTCAAGTAAGAGATGCCACACCAATGATGGTACTGTTTAAGGAAGTGATGGTATCTAGGGTGGAATATTGCTGCGCACGAACAGCCCCATTCAAAGCTGGAGAAGTTGCTAATATGGAGAACGTGCACATAATTTTTACTGATTGAATCCATTAATAAAACATCCGAATTATTGGGACCGCTTACAATCTCAATATGTTCGCTTTAGAGAGCAGGCAAGATTTATATGTATATTATTATTTACACATGGAAAATAATTGAGGGACGGGTTCAAATCTCCAAACGGAAATAACTCCTTACGAAACCAGGAAGTATGACAGGAAGTGCAAAACAGCCCTGTAGTGAGGCAGAGGTGCAATGGGTACACTAAGAGACAATTCTATCAACATTAAGGCTCCAAGACCTATCCATGTTGCCTAGTTCTTTTAAGTATCTTGTATGTTGTGTATATCCCCTCTAGCTCTTCTCTTCCCCAGGGCTGTAAGATCCAGCTCCCTTAATCTATTATCATAGTTTTGACACTAATTTTATCAAAAACCTCTGCACTTTTTAATTTTGGATTTCAGTCCAGTGCTGCATATTCCATTATTGGTCTAATAAAGGTTGCGTAGATTGCCTTGCAAGAGTCCTGAATTTAGGTTTCTAAACAACGTTCTAATCTCTGCCAGCGTCCAATATGCCGTCGATGTCACCCCTGTTTATGTGTGCCTCTGGTGGTAGTGTTGGAATTATATCTACTCCCAAATGTGTTTTTCTCTTCGATTTCTATAGTTACCTTTCCATTATGTTGTATATACAACATTCCTTACGTGGCTATAGAACAGCTTTGGCTGATCCTTAGCTTACGCCGCAATTTCGTTTCAAATTGCCTCTCAGTTTAGTAACCCAAAGTAGGTATCATGTTTCGTTGTATCAGTATTGTCAACAAGAGTCTGGTCTAACCTTCCTCAAACACCTGTCCACAGTCTGCGTTCGTGGCTAAGTCACTGGAGGACTTAGATTATCTGCCAAATCTAGTCCTCAACTTGAGCAATGGACCCGAGCTGGAGGCCATTCCTGAAATCCAGAACGAACCTCCATACAATGACCCAAAGGTAAGTCCATTATTATTTTTGTTTATAATTTATCCAACCATTTATCAACTTTAGATTTAACCTTGTGCTCTATAAATGGTAGCACGGGCTCCTACCGTGAAAATCTCCTGACATGAGAACATCAAATACGCGCTGCCAGCTTGGTTGTTCCATCACGTACTATAGGCAGCATGAAAGTATGATGCCAATCAACTCGATCATAACTTCAAGATAATTCAAGCAGGATATTAAAATCACTGTATTCTCGTTTATATATCACCATGGTATGCGGTGAATGACAACTTGCAGAAGGTATCACGCTAGCTTTGGCTGAGAGCACAGTGCATTTATCACTGGCATCTCCGTTATAAAGGAAATGACAACCGCAATACAATCGCGAATAGTGATTATAAATTCACTAAACTTCCTGGTGTTGTGATTCGAAAAGCCCGGACACACTATGCTAATAATATAGACACAATTATCTATAAACTAAAGTTAATGAAAAGTGTAAGCTACTGGTTATCCTTGAGGAGGTTGGTTATAAAGACCAGGTAAATCATTCCATGAAGGCCGATATACTTTAGACATAACTCATCTACGCCTTAAGTAAAATGTTTATAAGTTATACGAGTATTTACGGCAGTTTCTGGAGAACAGTTATTACGTGAGGCTACCAGGAGTCCGCCCTAATGAGGAGAAGTTTTGTCTGGGAGAGAGAGACATCCTGTATACTTGAATTGTTCTCCAGCACCGCTTTCTTGGGATGACCGCCTGTGTACAGTTACCAACCTTTGTCTTTACTGCATCTCTCAAAATGAGGTCCCAGCAACCTTATTTCTACAACACATCTTGAAAGTAGTAAGGTCAATACACCATTTGCTATGAGGGAAGAGTGGGTGTCAATACTTATCATGAGGTATGTTTTGACAGTAATGCAATTGCAAGAGCTAATGTTAATACACTTAATTCAAAGTACGTATTAACCTCTCATCAATATGTGCTTATTGGTGAGCTATGATTGTTGCCGCCGAAGGCGGCTAGTTTATTGTGCACCCCATACTCATCCTGTGAGCGGTAGCGCAAAAGCATTACAGAGGGCACAAAAGGTCTTTATCAGACCTCATCTTAGATTATTACATAAACAATTTCTTCAATCCTTCACACCTTATAGTTACAATGTCAGCTAGTAGAGCTATAACTCCTGGGTCCCACCTTTAGTAGTCGGTTGACTGTCGCCTATTGAATGATACCTGATCCTTATGCTGCCTATCGCACCGACTATTGCAATTATGTGTGTATGTTCGTTTGCAAAAACTGTACTTACCTTACAGTGTTTATATGACAAAGCTACAGCTCCTGAGATCCGCCTTTCCTATCGTCGGCTGTCAAGTGTAATGATTCCCGAACCTTTCATTTCTTGTCATGTTATTTCCCCACTGGTAACACAGAAACAATTGTCCACGGCTTTGATTATGATCAAGGTCTTTATATAGCAGCAGTTTCTTTATGTAATTAGATGGCTGATTTATAAAGGCCCCGTGCGTATCCCTCCAGTGGGCAGTGGTGGAAGATTTATACAGGTATATAATGGACTATCATTTAGAAGACTGAGGAGCCGAGCAGACGTTCAAGGTGAGCCAGTTGCTCTGGATCACTCTAGGAATGTACTCACTGATCCTTGTACACTCGTTAGCTCTATCGTCTTGAACATCCCAATCAAGTCACCGTTTTGAAGCATATTAGTTAGTCACACCAATGATATTAGTACTATTAGTCATTAAGACACAGCGTTGGCTGCATCGACTGCTGGTGTAGTCTAGGGCGGCTTCTTAGCTGCTGGAACTTGTTATAGGTGACCAAGTAGCAGTTGAACGAATCCATAACTGAAGCCTCTGTTCACCCAGCAGTGAATGGGTACCTGGTTGTTAAACAATTTGGTGGGTCGTATTCCGGGGAAAATTAGGATTAAGGACCTGCCCGAAACGCTATGCGTGCTAGTGGCTGTACAAGAACGTAAGAACTCTTGTATAAATAAATAAATAAATAAAATGAAAAGATTGAGAAAATATAAACAACGTCTAAGAAAATATAAATGAAACGGGAAGTAACAATTGCTTTTTATGAACGAAAATGATGCCAATCTATGAGTTACCAGTGGGGCTATTTTATTAGAAAAGGACATGAAAACCATGATTTATTTCTTCGATAATTATTCAGACGTAATATTTAATTCTATAAACAGTTTTATTAAACTGGTGTTGACAACATCCCGATGATTTATAAGACAGAGAAACAGCGCTGAAGGACTCCTCCGGATATGGCACTGATGTGACCTTAACGAGGAAAGTGGCTCCGGGATATTAGTGGTGGTGTCAGACCACAGCAGAGAGACCATGTCGTTTCCTCCTCATCCTGTGGAAAAGACCTTCCACAGGATGGGAGAGACCTTCCACAGGATGGGAGAGACTTTCCATAGGATGGGAGAGACCTTCCATAGGATGGGAGAGACCTTCCATAGGATGGGAGAGACCTTCCATAGGATGGGAGAGACCTCCCACAGGATGGATGTGACCTTCCGCAGGATGAATGAGACCTCCCGCAGGATGAATGCGGGAGGTCATTTCCATCCACAGCAAGATGGATGGAAATCCTCCCTTTTGGACACGTCCTTTTCCAGAGGATGGGTAAGACCTCCCAAAGGATGGGTGTCCCTCACAATAATAAAGGGGCCCATAACATATTTAAATTCATTAAAAAAACGTCTTCTTGAACAAGGCAAAAGTATATTAAACATGATCTTTATTTAATGCAAGTTGATAGTGTTCGTGACGACATATTTGAGAAGAAAGCCAAACTTATTTGAATTGAATCCTTCAGGTAAGGCTTCGTCTGTATCACATTCTGGCTTCTGTTGAATAATGCCAGTGATGAGGATGATTGAGAGAGCTTAAGCTGTGTATGGTTGTATCTTCTATACATCTGGGGGGGATGAGCGCGGCAAACAAATCAGCTTTTAAGATGAATTTCCAGTTATTATTTCTAACATTTATCTCTTCTATCGGGATAAATTACAATGCCAGGTTTATCAGCTCTCACTATGATAGAGCAGTATTAAGCCAGTGTGGCTATAGCTAAACTTTTCACAAATAAAATATTGGTAGTAAATTGTTCGAAGGTTATGAAAATTTGATATTTTTACTGGGATGTATGTGACTATAATCAGTGAACGCTGGGCACGTCCAACACCGTCCCGGACTTGGACCCACCCTGTATGCATTTTCTGGCTTTAGGAAGTTTATGTTAAGGTCTAACAACATTTCACCACGTTCGGAGATTTATTGTTATCTTGTTGTATCTAACAACATAGAGCTCCATTTGTGTTATAACTGTTTTGAAGTGTGTGTGAAGCTTTATTCAGATAATGAAGTCTCAGTTCCTTTATTAGATCTAGGGCTCTTTTTTTCCTGTATCTATACCCTTGAACATATGTTAGTACCCAGATTGTCCTCTAGTTCCAGCATCTTAATTCAAAGCGGTTTACTTGGTCAACAAGTATATTTGATCAACATAAACCAGTTTTTATCTGTATTTTGGCTTCGTAGATCTTCAAGACTATGACCTACCAACTCCTTACTGATGATTGAAGGGGAATTCTAATATCTTTGAGATTTTATTGCGTTTCCATTTGACTGTCTCAAATAGGGTATCGAAATAAGCTTTCAGACTATTATGGTACCCCGGAAACTGTACCTAGTCCGCATTAGGACTTATAGTATTTATAAATATCAGCATGAGTAGTATACTATTAATTTATTGTATTACTCCTGGATAAACTTTTGGCTACTATTACTGGTGTGTTTTACAAGAGTAGAGTGTCTGGAAGATGGTGGCGTTCTTTGTGCATTTGTTTCCCTTTGTCTACTGGCCTCCGTTCTGATGGTGCTAAAAGTGGCATACTTTATTTTGAATTAACTATATATGTATTGGCAAATTATTGTTTCCGTGAAGTTTGTTCCATAAGCCAGCCGAAATAACGGGATATATTGCTAGAATAAATACTGATCCCAGAAGCAGAATAAATATATGTTTACGTTAATGTGAATGAGGAGTGAAGTCCCTTGGTAACAGGAAGGGGAGCAGCGGGGCAGTGATGGGAGGGGAGTTCATGCAACAGGTTTTAAAGGTCATCTAGATCAAGCAGCAAAGAGTCTTCCAGGTGCGTGGTTCCTATTGAATTTAACTGATACAACACCACCCTTACAGCTGCAGCCTGTTGCGTAATTTTGAGGGGGGGTAGCGCTTTGCGATGCGCCTGTATGAGGTGAAATATATTTTTTAAATAAACGGAATTGTTTTGTATGCCTTAGAAAAATATGTTATTTGCTATGAATCCTCTTCCACTCCACTGAGTAAAAGAAAATCATTATTTGTGAGGGATGGGGTAATATTTTATGCGTGTCTACGTTGTAGTATTTTCTAGAGATATTATTTTGTTTTCAGAGAACATGGCGCTGGCAGAGGTAGTTTTTTGTTGTTGTTGTCCTTGGAGAGAATAGCCGGACGGTCGTTAATTATACAGAATGAAAATAATAATAATAATACTATTTATACCGATATTCACATCTTCGCTACTCTGGCCAGACCTCCCCAGCCCACAATGGAGCTCAACAATTTTGCTGATAATTCTTTATACCATAGACATGGTCATATGGGCGCATCTTGGACCAGTAGTAGTAAAAAGAAAAATTCCTCAATGGGTATTAAACTCTGAATCCATTGAGTGATCGGCCAGTATGATAACCACTCTGCCAATATGTTGATGTGTCCCCAATGTGAAGGTTTGGTATAATAAATAAGTGTTTTTTCTGACGCTTGAGCTGTTTGCGTTTTATTTTGAGCGGCACCAATGACCTTCTGTTCTTATCTAAGTCTTATTACATTTATCAGGTGTTACTGCAACTCCTGTAGCCAGTGCTAGATCATTCCTACAGTTCGTGAATGTCATACTTTCAGTTTATGTTTATTTACATCCTTTCAATTTATGATATTTTCACTAGTTTCATGCTGTCCACAAGTCACGTCCTGAAGGATTGTGCAAGTAGGTCGTTCCCGCATTCCCACCCTGATATCTCCACTATTACTGTAACTCTGTGCCTTCTGTTTGTCGAGTACTCTTCCGTTCACCTAAGTATACCTAAAATATACCTAAAAAGTTAACAGTTTTGGCATTTTTTGAGCCTCTTTGTTAGATGGTCCCCTGGTTTCCTCCCTCACTGAGACGCGATCTCCACTATGATAGATGCTACCTTTTTTTTTGAGATATATACAAGAGTTGTTACATTCCTGTACACTAGTACGCGTAGCGTTTCGGGCAGGTCCCTGGAATACGATCCCCGCCGCGAAGAATCGTTTTTACAACCAAGTACACATTTTACTGTTGAGTTAAACAGAGGCTACAGTTAAGGATTTGCGCCCAGTAAATCCTCCCCGGCCAGGATACGAACCCATGACAAAGCGCTTGCGGAACGCCAGGCGAGTGTCTTACCACTGGACCACGGAGACTCATGCACTGCAGTTTCCAACAGGTTACCACAACCTGTTTTACAAGTTAGCTCGTCTGTGTTGTGCGTACGTGTGTGTGGGCGCATGGATATTAGGTTTTTTCCATGCATTCTTTCGTCGCAGACTACGCCTTCTTAGCTTAGAATATTCAAATGATTCTGAAGAAGTACACTTTATGTATTTGTGATGTTTGAATAGAATAACCAGTCTGACAGCAATGACCTTTTCTATAATCCCGATATTATACAAATATATATATGTTCTTCAGATTGTTACTACAACTACAGGAAACAAAATTATCAGATGAAAATGATTAGCAAGAGTACATACTAGGAATAGCAAAAGCAGGTGACATGAAGATAGCGGAAGCTGTGATGTACAGTACAAAATAGAAGGTCTAGGGAAGAATGAGGCGAGAGTAAAACTAGTAGACACAGCAGAGAAACACTTCTTAAAGCAACATATTTCAGAACCAACTTCAGGTAAGAGAAGAAGACCTATCAGCAACGCATTTACCCAGAATAAGGAAGATGTCGAAAACATAGAGTATAAGAGGCATCTAGGGGGGGCTAACGACCACTGAATTATCGTTTGAGTACACAACTAATAAAAGTTATTGATACCAAGAAACACACTGAGAAAAGTTAGATTTGTCAAAAGTGGGGATTACAGGACGGTGAAGGCCTGTCTGCCAAGAAAACAATGGTAGGGAGACACTTGATAGGACAAAAACCAAATGATATGATGGAATTCTTAGCCCGGAAATATGTGGATGCCACAAAGCAGTTCATCCCACTCAAAAAGGTGAACAATAAGTGAAGAGCAAATATTTGGTTCAGTAGGCAATGCAGAGAAAATAATGAAAAGGCATAAAAAGAATGGAAAAATGCAGACAAGAAATAGTTGTTAGAGAAGCAAACAGATAGTTGCTAGAATTAAATCCCATAGAGTGTAATGAGAGATAAATGGGCAAGGGGAGAAAAGAGGCTACAAGGAATCTATACTATAAGAGGCGGGCAACTTCACTAATCGGAAAAAGAAAAAGATTTGGGATGTGGTTATAATTCCAACACTAACTCTGGAGACTCACATAAACAGGGTAACATGGATGGCATATGGGACACTGGCAAACATTAGACCATCATCTAAACACTCTAAATAATAACTCTTTCAAGGCAATCTACACAGCCTACAGTAGACCAGTTCTTAAATATGTAGCACTAGGCTGGAATCTGCATCTTGGAATGCAACCTACAATAGACTAATACTGGAATATGCAGCACACCAGCTTGGAAATTGCATTTTGTGAAGCGCAAAACAAAAGTGGAAAATTGCCGAGGCCAGTAAAGGAAACTCTGCATGGGAAGCACTAACAGCTTTGTGGGGAGACATAATCACGAGGTGCTTTTGCGGCTTCAAATAACATTTCATCGTGGATTTATCCACGATGAGGCTGTCCCAGCTGAGTTGCTTGTTGGCTTTTGATGGGACTAATCTGGGTACTGGAATTACAAGGGTGTCCTACTTAGTGGCACATTGTGTCAGGGTGAGCCCGGAATGTCTTGTACCTTTAAGGCATTCCGGTAAGATTTTTACTTGGTCTGGACGGTAGAGCGACGGTCTCGCTACATGTAGGTCGGCGTTCAATCCCCGATCGTCCAAGTGGTTGATCACTATTCCTTCCCCTCGTCCTATCCTAAATCCTTATCCTAAACCTTTTCAGTGCTATATAGTCGTAATGGCTAGGCGCTTTCCCTTGATAATTCCTTTCCTCCGGTAGGATGTCCTTGACCATTTTATCACAAGCTATGGAGGAGGAGGAGAGAAAGGATGGTAAGGCAATCTAGGAAGAGAAGAGATATATAAGTCAACAAATACACTTATCATTGTCTGTAGAAACTGCTGTAAAATATTGTTAAATCCTCTATCATATTTGTTGACCAGACCACACACTAGAAAGTGAAGGGACGACGACGTTTCGTCCCTTCATCGACTTCAGAATGGTTCAGGACGGACCGAAACGTCGTCGTTCCTTCACTTTCTAGTGTGTGGTCTGGTCAACATACTTCAGCCACGTTATTGTGACTCCTCGTCTCTATCATACTTGTTTACAATTTATAGTGTTGATTTGTGGATGTCTCTCCTCAGACGAGTATATTCTGGATATCTGGTAACGAGTCTATGTAATATATTGTAAACACAAGGCGTTCTTACCACAGAATGAAGAACTGTTGCTGGATTTGTTGTACGGCATCAATGCCCTCATGGGTAAGGGTGGGGTGTGGTACGTGCCCACGGGCCCCGCCGGACGAGCAAACTGTGTGCCAGGGAGGAAGGTGAGCCACAGTGCAGCTTCCTCAAGAAGGACAACTGTGCCGCAACTGATACAATCCCTCAAAGATATTTTCTCCGTTGATCATGAAACCATTGAGCGGTTGAGGCTACAAGTTGAAGAAAGAAAGGTACAGTCATATTTATTTTTAAGATCATTAATTAGGAGATTGCATTACAAGGACTTCTTGGATGATTTTGTATCACTATACTGTCACAAGTCTTTGTATCGTCTGGAAATCTAGGGCCAGATTCACGAAGCACTAGCGCAAGTACTTACGAACCTGTACATCTTTTCTTAATTTTTGGTGGTTTTGTTTACAAATATTAAACAGTTAATGAGCTCCGAAGCACCAGGAGGCTATTTATAACAATAACAACAGTTGATTGACAAGTTTTCATGCTTGTAAACTGTTTAATAATTGTAACCAAAGCCGTCAAAGAGTGAGGAAAGATGTACACGTTCGTAAGTACTTGCGTAACTGCTTCGTGAATCTGTCCCCTGGGGATCCGTTTGGTCTACATCTTTCACTTTGGTTTACTAATGGACATTAGAAGATTGCTTGTGCCGACTAGTAGACTCGACTTCCATCCCATACATGGTCTACCATCCTATGAAAAATGAATATAATATTAATAACATAGTTCTTGACCTTTACTCTGTTACCCCCTCATATAGACTAGGATAACAGCATAATACCGTGTACTTAAGCTGTTTCAACGAGAGACCCAATAGCCTTGCAAAACAGATTAACAAAATAACAAGCATTAGAGTGAACCTCACAGGTTCCTCTCAGATGTACTTGATTGTTGTATCACTATTCGTCTATTTGCAGCCTGTTGCAGTGACCCTGCACCTGATGGTGAAGGAAGCCAGGGTGTTCTGTCGGAGGGATGTTAAGGGTGCGTATTTATAATATATATATATATATATATATATATATATATATATATATATATATATATATATATATATATATATATATATATATATATAATTTAATAACCCAATATTTTGAAAACACGAGGAAATATAGGCTATATTTTGATCCGAACCTGGGATCCACTGCTGAAAAGGATCCCAGGTTGGGATCCACTGCTGAAATGGATCCCAGGTTGGGATCCACTGCTGAAATGGATCCCAGGTTGGGATCGAAATATTCTACATTTCCTCGTGTTTTCAAAATAGTGGGTTATTATTTTCATATAGATTTAAAAACTTTCCTTTCAAAGTTTAAATGTCCAGTTCTAATTGCCAACAGACTACTGTGATTATATTTTAAATCCATTGATCATATAAGCTCCAACACGTATCTGATATAAGGTAATTTTAATTGCAAATACGATAACAAACACATACAGTTGCTTTGTAGCCTATTCAAACTTGTATTAAAAGTGCATTGATCCCAATGTAATTGATTTTATCTGACTAATTTTTGTAATATATATTTATTTCACTTAGGTTAAACCAGTCATGCATTACTATGTATTAATACAAGAGGGGTCCCGGTAGTACAGTCGGGGTTGTTCTCGACGCACAATCGAGAATTCCGGGTTCGAATCCCGGGTGGAGCAGAAATGGTTGGGCACATTTCTTTTCACTGAATGCCTCTGTTCACCTAGCAGTGAGTAGGTACTCAGCTTGCTGCTTTGAGGTTGCAACCGGGGGGAAGGGGGTCAATAATTCGGTCACATTGGCCTCGATAAAAGCCAAACATGTTTGAATACACTCTGGCTTCCTGTCCCCGAATAAGATGACTCCGTCTTGTGACAGGACCCACCAGCACCCACGTGACGGTTGTGTTGGCCGGCAACCCAGACCACAGGACCCGGACGGAGAGGGACACGCTCTATCCCAAGTGGATGGAAACTTTTGACCTGTAAGTTTGTGTGTATCATTAGTTATTGTTTAGAGGAGTCCGGTAGAGTCCGGTGTGAACAGCCCCGCTCCTGTGCCAGGTAAGTCTACTACGGGCTCACCATAGCCCCGTGCTACTTGTCCCGCTCCTGTGCCAGGTAAGTCTACTACGGGCTCACCATAGCCCCGTGCTACTTGTCCCGCTCCTGTGCTAGGTAAGTCTACTACGGGCTCACCATAGCCCCGTGCTACTTGTCCCGCTCCTGTGCTAGGTAAGTCCACTACGGGCTCACCATAGCCCCGTGCTACTTGGAACTTGTTCTGAGTAGCTGAATCTATAACAACAACAACAACAACAAGCAGCGGTGTGCTTGATAATCTGCGGATTATCATGCATGTCACTTAGGATTTGAACGGGAGTGAGCATCTGTATTCACCTACTTGTGCTTGCGGGGGTTGAGCTCTGCTCTTTCGGCCCGCCTCTCAACTGTCAGTCAACCAACTGTTACTAACTACTAATTTTTTCACACACACACACACCCGGGAAGCAGCCCGTAACAGCTTTCTAACTCCCAGGTACATATTTACTGTTAGGTAACAGGGGCATCAGGGTGAGAGAAACTCTGCCCATTTTGTTTCTGCCATCACCAGGGATCGAACCCGGACCCTAGGATTAAGAGCCCAGAACGCTGTCCACTCAGCTATCAGGCCCACCGACATGTGTGTGTGTGTGTGTGTGTGTGTGTGTGTGTGTGTGTGTGTGTGTGTGTGTGTGTGTGTGTGTGTGTGTGTGTGTGTGTGTGTGTGTGTGTGCCTTCTTTTGATAATTACTTACTGTGTGTTTGTGCTATTCTGTTCACTAGTTCTGAGTTTATAGGCTTGAAGACTCCTCCCTCGCGTGGATGGACTTGGGTATCACCTGCTATAGAAGTAAAGAAGCAGAATCACATTGTAATTTGTGTTGTTTTAGCACTTTGATGAGGACTAAACAGAAATCATGATTTGACAGTATTGACAATCTCCATTATGTACGTCATTGTACATATTTAGTGTTACATATCCCTCATACTCCAACACCTAGACTACAACATGTACCTTGACTCATATATTATAACATGCAAGCCACCTACACAATGACAGTCTCTGAAAAAAGTTCAACACAATGTGACGAGAATTATTACTGAATTAAGTTACGTGGCTTAGCAGTGTGAGGTGGAGGCCGCAGGACTGGTAACTGTACGAACAAGGCATGACTGGGCTGCTCTCTGAACGGTTTCAGTTCGTTAAAATAGAAACTATTTTTTCCTTTTACTCTTCCCCTACACTTCACAATGTTACACTTAGAAATGTGTATAATTACACCTTATACTTCATAATGTATAATGTGACATGTGTAAAGAGGGAACTACATCATAGTAGCAGAGTACCCATTGAACTCGTACAAGCTAAGAGAACGCTTTAGTTTAAACACAAATATGAGCTCCATAAACATGTCAATTGTGACACTAGCTCTTCACATATGTCAGTTGCTTAATTTAGAAACTGTACTTGATCTCGAACCCATTGTTGATGTGACGATGTGCATTGAATGTTGTAACTAGCTCATCGAGATTGTAACTGGCTTAGCTAAATGAATTGTGGGGTTCAGTCCCTGAGCCCATTATGTGCCTCTGTAACCTTCTCCACTACCGCCCACAGGAGGGGTATGGGGTGCACAATAAATGAACTAAACTACAATATTCATTTGACAACATGGGTGGCCGGTGGTAGGGGGAGTTTCCTATGTAGCGGGTACTTCCTATCTTTTAAAACGGTATTTTGAGACAGTAGTCGATTCAGATTTATATATTATTATATTAACTACAAATATTTTTTTCCAGGCTTATCAACGACCTTCAGAGGGATCATCTTCTGTTGGAATTATGGTGAGATTTTAAAAAATATTTATTGTTGTTCTTCCACGAAGAAACTTTTATATTCTGAATTTTATTTTATTACATGTAAACTATTATTTTGATCACATACTGGTAGGCTACATTTCTAGAATATAAATGTTAATATAAATTCAATTATATTACTGGAGCAGTTCTTGAACATCTCACAACTCCTTACATCTCTCTCAAGTAGTCAAAACCCACCGGTTCTTTTCATCTTAAATACTGCATCAGTTATGGTATACATGTCTAAACTTACGACGTGTTGAGAGACACGTAGTTAAAGAGACTGACCAGCAGGTGTACCCACTAGGCAGCAGGAAGAGGAGGTAGAGGAGACTGCAAGTCAACGACTCTTCCATAAACTGGTCCGTAACACTCACGCCGCTCCTGTCCTCCTCTCCTCCTTCACCTACTCCCTTAAGGCAAGTTATATATATATATATATATATATATATATATATATATATATATATATATATATATATATATATATATATATATATATATATATAATATGTCGTACCTAGTAGCCAGAACTCACTTCTCAGCCTACTATGCAAGGCCTGATTTGCCTAATAAGCCTAGTTTTCATGAATTAATGTTTTTTCGACAACCTAACCTACCTAACCTAACCTAACCTAACGTTTTCGGCTACCTAACCTAACCTAACCTATGGAGATAGGTTAGGTTAGGTTAGGTAGGGTTGGTTAGGTTCGGTCATATATCTACGTTAATTTTAACTCCAATAAAAAAAAATTGACCTCATACATAATGAAATGGGTAGCTTTATCATTTCATAAGAAAAAAATTAGAGAAAATATATTATTTCTGTAAAACTTGGCTTATTAGGCAAATCGGGCCTCGCATAGTAGGCTGAGAAGTGAGTTCTGGCTACTAGGTACGACATATATATATATATATATATATATATATATATATATATATATATATATATATATATATATATATATATATATATATATATATATATTTTATTATTTTATTTCGTATTTTGTTGTGGGGGTTATATGTATGGGTTATATTACCTCCTCTCTTCATCTATATATTGATTAAACAATGTTCCCTGCCAGTGACTTTCTCCATTTTTAAATATTCTTCTGTGTTCGTCAAATCTCGTTATATATAATTTGTATTCTTTTGCAGGATATTGTTTTAGCGCCACTCGATGGCTGGTATGTGTTTGGAAATCATGCAGATTTCGAAAATGACAGTGATCATTATTCTACAAAAGTGCGGCTCTCAGGCAGTCTTTCAGCCGTGACAGACTTAACAAACATTAATTATAAGACCCACGGTGCTCTGCTGAAGCTGGTACTGCATCACCTTCTTCACTCCAGTGACACGGCATGTATACAGAGTTTTCGTTTTCTTCCATTATGCGTAGTCCAACCACTTGGGCTGGACGGTAGAGCGACGGTCTTCCTTTATGCAGGTTGGCGTTCAATCCCCGACCGTCCAAGTGGTTGGGTACCAATCTTCGCCACCCGTCCCTTCCCGAATCCTTATCCTGTCCCCTTCCCAGTGCTATATAGTCGTAATGGCTTGGCGCTTTCCTCCCCCTGACAATTCCCTTCCCTTCCATTATGCATGCGGCACACTCAATACTCAACTAATCACATTGATAATGATAATTATTGGTATAAATGGAATTGGCTAACAACCTGGTTATTATATTATATATAATGATATTATATTATATATAATGATATGTTTACTTCTGACGTGTTGTCGCCCAGTCTGATCATTCTGTTTCTCCTGTGATTATTTCTCTCTCGGTTTTCATCTCCTCTCATTTGGCTGTCAAAGCTCTTCACAAAGCAAGCATTAAGAGGGGATAGAATCCAGTACTGAGAAACTTCGTGCTTCTGTGTGTGCCAGAAATGTGCGCCTTTCAACTGAAACGTACATTGGCTCGCCTTGAACTAATTATGTTAAGAAAGACTATTATATTAACTATGGAATTATAAGATTGTGACTTTCTTAGCTGAATGAGTTTCGGATTCAGTTCCTGAGCTCATTATGTGCTCCTGTGTCATTTTCCACTTCTCATTGATAAGTTGTGCTGCCATAACATGCATACAGGTGTTGCCACTGAGAGGCAACGTCTACGGTACAAGAATACACCTATTTGTTTCCTTCGTGGTAATGCTCCTATGGACGCTGGATTTAATTAAGCTACATCTCTACTTAGTATTATTTATATATTTAATATTTGTCATTAGTGCTGAACTAAATAATGTAATGTTTATATTTATATCTTCAGATTGACATCAATAAACGCAGTGCAATGTGGAATGGAACAGTCCCGGATGGCATCAGTGCCGTGATCGCCCAGCACGCCTTGCTGCTCAACCTCAGCATGGAGGCTCAGCAGCTGCTCTGGTGGAGCACAGCCGTCCAGGCAGGCGCTGTGGACGCCATTTGGACCCTCGCCCAACTCAAGGCTGTTCAGTCCTCGCTTGTCCTCAACTTGTATTCCAGTGAAGAACAGCTAGAATTGTGCTCCTCTCTGTGTTTCTTTAGAAGTAAATGTTTAAAGCAGATACAAAATTTGGACATAGTTTTCCCCATTACTTCAGATCACTCCAAACTACAGCTCTCATCTACATTAAAGTAAGTGTCTTACTCGCTTTTTTGTGACTGTGTGGTGTCAGCTGTCAGCACTTAAATGAATCCATTTACGATATATTAAGACATTATATTTGCCTGCTTGTCTTGATTTACAGAGCCCTGCAGAGTCTGCATAATCACCCACAGACCAGACAGCTGCTGAGCCATGTCAAGCAGTCAGGCGTCAACGAGGATGTTACTAAGGCCATTAAACAATACGCAGATCAGTGGTAGGTCATCCACAATGAGTGAAACTTGATTTAAAACTTTTATGTTTGTTTATATAGAACAAGTTTATATGTGTGTGTGTGTGTACAGGATGTGTGGCTGTAGTACACGTGGTGCAGTATTGCACGTCTTCTGCATATAGTTCCTCATATATATATATATATATATATATATATATATATATATATATATATATATATATATATATATATATATATATATATATATATATATATACTGTTAAAATCAGCCCATTCTCCTGTTTATATAGTACTTATAGTAACAATGTTGAACATTGGACATATATTCAGGTAATGGACAATTAGAAAGTAGAAGTGGGTACTATCGAATTTGGACAGATCGGAAAAGGGAGTTGTACTTATGTTGCTAACCTAACCATCCCAGGCCTAATATAGTACATATTGTATAGTACATAATATAGTACATATATGTCCTATACTAGACCTAGGGATATATGTTTGGTTTTTAACTTTATTTTTTCCGGACGCTGTTAAGTTAATTGTACAAATTGAACTACTTGTCCATTACGTCAGTATATGTGCGCTGGTCTACATAGGTGCAAAGAGTAGTGTCTAAACAAATGGATGAGTTGGTTAACATAACCATCCATTTGGATTGGCCGGCGGAACGACGGTCTCGCCTCTTGTAGGTCAGCATTCGATCCCCAACCATCCAAATGGTTGGGGAACGTTATTATCCTCCTTCCTATCCCAGATCTTCGTCCTCGTATCTCTTTCCTACTGCTGTGTAGTCGTACTAGCTTAGCGCTTTCTCCTGGTGATTCCCTTATTTTCCAAATGTATTTGAAATCTCTATGTATGAACGAGGGAATATTTACCTAGATTTACCTGCCGGCTAATGTCTCTAGTGGCCGTGACGGGGGACAGGAAATATGTGATGCAGAAGAGAACGAATGAAAATAGTCTACTGGAGCAATATCTAAATTAAATCACGTTTGTTAAGGTTAACACTATGTACAATGTACATAGTGTGTACTGAGAAACACAAGTGTCTCAGTACATAGAGCAACAAAGTCAGGAATCAAGAGCAACACAGGACTGAGGTTCATGTTGGACATGTTGGGTATGAGAGCTGATTCGGCCAGACGTCGTCTGTGAAGAGTAGAGGCAGGAAAGATTATTTTAGAACACACTCTAGGATGATTACAGTCCCTAACATGACAGAAGATAGCATTATTTATATCTGCAGACTTAACACTTGTTTTGTGTTCCTTTAGACTGTCATTAAGAGTACATACTCTTAAGAACCTCCTGATTTCTAAAGAACTGATGTCAAAGGAACACTGAATGTAAACATGTTATCAATGAAGCTGATGAACCAAAATAATATTTATCATACCTTTGTATTAAGTGACGTTAGTCTTTTGTTTCGAGACACAAAGTCTGAAATACCAAAGAATATTATATGACATGAAATGGAATAAGACAGTTTTTAAGGAGCATGTAAGAGTTTGTGTTTGGTGTCAGGTGGCGGAGGACGTGTCAGCCGGCCCTGGATAAGGCGGCCAGCGTCTCTGAGCAGTGTAACGCCGCCCTCACAGTCACCGAGGAGGTGCTCTTCCTCCTCAAGCATCACTCCAAGCCTTATAATGACATCTTCATGCAGTAAGCTGTATCAAATATTTATTGGTATTCATTATTATTATAAATAGTCTATATTTGTGGCTTTGTAAAAAATATCTTTGGAAGGTATATTTAATGCTTTCATATTAGTAAATTGGATATATTTACAATTTAATTACCATGAATGAATTATTACAACAAAACTATTTTATATATATATATATATATATATATATATATATATATATATATATATATATATATATATATATATATATATATGCGAACAAGCCTGAATGGTCCCCAGGACAATATGCAACTGAAAACTCACACCCCAGAAGTGACTCGGACTATATATATATATATATATATATATATATATATATATATATATATATATATATATATATATGCGAACAAGCCTGAATGGTCCCCAGGACAATATGCAACTGAAAACTCACACCCCAGAAGTGACTCGGACCCATACTCCCAGGTGCAACGCAACTGGTATGTACAAGACGCCTTAATCCACTTGACCATCACGACCGGACATAATGAGGTGATAGCCGAGGCTATTTGAACCACCCCACCGCCGGCACTCGGATAGTAATCTTGGGCATAGCATTTTACCAAATCACCTCATTCTTTGGGGCACACGTGTGCCCCAAAGAATGAGGTGATTTGGTAAAATGCTATGCCCAAGATTACTATCCGAGTGCCGGCGGTGGGGTGGTTCAAATAGCCTCGGCTATCACCTCATTATGTCCGGTCGTGATGGTCAAGTGGATTAAGGCGTCTTGTACATACCAGTTGCGTTGCACCTGGGAGTATGGGTTCGAGTCACTTCTGGGGTGTGAGTTTTCAGTTGCATATTGTCCTGGGGACCATTCAGGCTTGTTCGCATTTGTGTTCCTCATGTGTGCCCCAAAGAATGAGGTGATTTGGTAAAATGCTATGCCCAAGATTACTATCCGAGTGCCGGCGGTGGGGTGGTTCAAATAGCCTCGGCTATCACCTCATTATGTCCGGTCGTGATGGTCAAGTGGATTAAGGCGTCTTGTACATACCAGTTGCGTTGCACCTGGGAGTATAGGTTCGAGTCACTTCTGGGGTGTGAGTTTTCAGTTATATATATATATATATATATATATATATATATATATATATATATATATATATATATATATATATATATATATATATATATATATATATATATATATATATATATATATATATATATATATATAGGTCGTACCTAGTAGCCAGAACTCACTTCTCAGCCTACTATTCAAGGCCCGATTTGCCTAATAAGCCAAGTTTTCATGAATTAATATATTTACTATAATTTTTTTCTTATGAAATGATAAAGCTACCCTTTTCACTATGTATGAGGTCAATTTTTTTTATTGAGTTAAAATTAACGTAGATATATGACCGAACCTAACCAACCCTACCTAACCTAACCTAACCTATATATATAGGTAAGGTTTGGTTAGGTAGCCAAAAAAAGCTAGGTTAGGTTAGGTTAGGTAGGTTAGGCAGACGAAAAAACATTAATTCATGAAAACTTGGCTTATTAGGCAAATCGGGCCTTGCATAGTAGGCTGAGAAGTGAGTTCTAGCTACTAGGTACGACATATATATATATATATATATATATATATATATATATATATATATATATATATATATATATATATATATAAGAGGGGTACCACCTCTGGTGCAAATGTAGGGACCCATAGCCTCGGAGAAGAAAATAAAGAGTACTCAGAGAAGACCTTGTGGATCCTCACTGAACACTTTGATATTTTCTTTGATATTACTTTGATATCTATATATATATATATATATATATATATATATATATATATATATATATATATATATATATATATATATATATATATATATATATATATATATGTAGGGGTACCACTTTTGGTGCAATTGTAGGGACCCATTGCCTTGAAGAAGAAAATAAAGAGTATTCAGAGAAGACCTTGTGGATTCTCACTGAACACATTAATATTTTCTGCTTCTATATATATATATATATATATATATATATATATATATATATATATATATATATATATATATATTTATATATATACTGTATATATATATATATATATATATATATATATATATATATATATATATATATATATATATATATATATATATATATATATATATATATATATATATATATATATATATACTACCACTCATTACATGGTCATTAACCCACCATAATACAGAGAGATGGACATCCGTGCCGTGATGTACATATACGAGACTGTTGTCAGCAACATGGTGGAGGCCCTGCAGCCAGTCGTAGCTGATCTTCAGAGTAAAATCATCTCGGAACTGTTCTCAGGTGGGTACACTGCTTGAACGTTTGTGCCTTTCTGAACTCGCTCATTTTTGTCTAATACAATGTATCTCACATGGCCCACAAGGTTATAAATCGCTACAAGATTTTGCTATTTAAATATGAGACAAATTCAGGGGCATTGAGTTGAACAGGTTTCTCATGTGGTGCATCTTTTACAGAGAACCGTGACGACAAACCCCAGTGTGACTTTGGTTTAGGTTCTTCATTGTTTAAGGTTTTCAAGAATCTTGACATCATCTCTCTGTGAGTACAGTTGCAGATGCGATGTGTATAAAACATAATTGAACTGTATTTTTATTATATTGAAATACTAGTCATTAAATGAAGGCCATGTGACATCTCGCATGTCACATTTTTATTGATGATATAATTATTGAAATACTAATAACATGTTTTGTTCTATTATAGACTAAACTTAGATGTTCCACCTGTGATAAAGACCTCGACAGGTGTTGATCAGTATTACCAGTGGTTCATTCCTGCTGTTGAGAGCTGGCTCCACTCTACTAACCAACTGGCCTATGACCACGTGTTGCAAGCAATACAGAGGGACTCCTTTACTCCAATCGATTCTCATAACTCCTTCAGCCAGTCTTCTAAAGAGACAACTGCTATTTTCCATAGTGTAAGTAGAGTAAGGGCTACGAACACCAACTCTTTCAATAATTCTTTTAATAATTACTATTGCTTCTTGAAGAGTTGTGGTTCGATCCCCCTTATGATTAAAGTGGTTGGAACGGTTCCTGTACTCCATCATCATATCCCACTCTTATCTTGTGATCATATTCCTTCCAAGTGCTATACTCTGGTTTAGAGTATATGCTATACTATGGTATACTCGTTTAGAGCCTCCTTTTGATAATTATCTTACCGTCTTTCTAAAAATAACACTAGGTAATTTTTCCACTTAGGAACCAAGACAGAGTTGGAACATGTCTAGGTAAATTGTCATAGTCACAGTTTTTCTAAGAAAACAAATGGCTTGATGATAATTATCACGTGTTAGGTTTACATCTCATACTAATCTTCTTGTAATAAACAGTACACACGAGGAAGTCTACTAAGACAAGAAATGCATCAACACTACATAGGGGTGGACCTCGAACACTGACCTTTGACCAAACACTTTCCAAGATCATAAAATTGCCGTCGACTCCGTCACAAGGTCACATCTTTGATAATCTCGTCCATTACTGCACAAACGTCTTACTAACGACCAGGTCTACATGGGAATGGGTCCTCAGATAACTCCTATCTCAAAATACGATAGCTTCTGCTCAAAACTTGGGGCAGTCGTGCTTACAAATCTTCAAATAGACGAAGGCCAAAAATTCGCAGAGCACCAAGATGAAGGACTCTTACTCCGTCCGCGAGAGTCCGTGATGTCAAACAAACAAGTGACACACCACAGCTCTAACTGCCGCCTTCTTGTTTAACCATAATAATACACAGAATTATATAGTTACCTTTATATCAATTTCATTGCATACATTTATACATCCTAACATAAATATAACATTCCTTGGCAGTCCTTCATGTTGGTTGTGGGTGAGTACGACTCTCAAAGTCATACAGCCTGAGTACGACTCTCAAAGTCATACAGCCTGAGTACGACTCTCAAAGTCATACAGCCTGAGTACGACTCTCAAAGTCATACAGCCTGAGTACTGTTATGATGGACACACCTTAAAAAGTGTTCACCTTCAAACTGCCTCTGCACGACCTGGATGACACTCCTCATGTGAGGATTCAGCTCCATATCACAGCTTGCTATATTACTCGCAGTCAATATTTATTCAATATTGTAAAATGTGCAGTGTCCTTTCATCAGTCTAACACTAAGAAATTTAAGAAATACTAAATCTGAAACACCTCACTGAAAATACCAAAGTGACAGGGCGACTGAGACCCCTTAATGAACTCCTCTCTTTAGGTAGTTACAAGAATTTAATGTTATTTGTTTTAATTAACTTATAACTGATGCGGCACATGTTAACTTGATTATATTTAACGATGTGGTGCTGTTGTGGACGTTCTGCCGGAGTATTGATGGTTTCATCTCTACACGAAGCTGCAGTATGTTGTGTGAAGTCTGACGGTGGTGGTGATCACCAAGTATGTATATTATTAATGCTCTACAGGAGACGCACATTTTTCTGAAAGTTCCACAGGGCCCAGCTAGTGTTGCCGTTACCTCAACCCATGCTCCAAGAACACTTCAGTGACCACAATGCTTAAGTAAATAACCATTTGCATATATTTAAATGATGCAAGTTTTAATATTTTATTTCACATTGCAGATTAAAGTATGGTGGCATAAACTGTCATGGCCTGATCCAAGTTCTCGTTCGCTGTTCCTTCTCAAAACTCTGGAAAACATGTACTCCCTGTGTATATACTATGTTGATACTCTGTGCAAAACGACTGACAGGTTGCTTGAAGAAAATTCAAATGGTCTCCATATTAGTGAAAAGGTAAGTCGTGATTAAACTGTTTTGTTATTGTTACATTTCCTGCAGCTCATATTCCACAATAAACATATATTATTGTAAAATTACATATAGTATTGTAATATACATATACTGTTGCCAAATTTGTCAACTTTTTGTCAAATTTAAAGCAGTCTTTTGCGTTCTTTAATATTTACTAATAGTCACATTTCATTCTAAAAGGTATGCATAGCACTTCAAAATATTGATGAAATTCAGAAGGAGATGGAAAGATTGCCTGAAATCTTCGGAATTCATGCTCTAGTAACCACTATCATTGAAGAAGGAAATGAAAGCCTGGCCGTTCAGATCAACTCAAATGAGGAAACTCTGACTAGCAGTAAACTACATGATATGAAGGTCAAGACCCATGATTTTATGGATGTTATCATAAATAAGGTAAGACGTATCTCCAGTGTTCCCGAGAGCGCACTATAGTAAGCAGCTTAACACACTACATACTACTACTACTACTGGAGATGGTATGTGACTTCTAGAGCGCTTTGGTATTAAACAACTGAACGCTACAATATACTGGAAACGGTCGACTGTTTTAAAAGCGCTCTGGAGCAAACCACTGAACACACAACCATATACTAGAAACAGTAGAGAGCTTCCAGACGAAAACCTCTTCACCCAAACTACAACAGAGAAATGCACGTCTTCAGTTCTCGCTCCATATTAACATTACTGCGAATAGTGTTAGTATTACTAGTTATAAAGTGAGATGGTGCTTACCAGAATAATATGTGTTATAATCAATTGAATTTTAAGTAAGAAGATGAGTTATAGACCATTATTAATAGCTTTCATATTGGCTTTTTCACGATTTGTTTTGTAAACTATTAAGTTTACAAAACACTTGAAAATATTTGTACTGACTGTGTGCTTGGTGAGAGAAGTATGCTTAAGAATATGTATGATATGAGGAGTGTGTGAAAGGCTTGTCTGGTCACAAAGTTGAAACCGTGTATCCGACACGATGGCTCTTCAGTGTGCATGGTTGGGGTCGTGAGGGGTGTGAAGCTAAGAGTGTCGGAGTCGTCTCAATATTGCATAGGCCTAATATAAATAATGAGAGCAAGTCAGATAAGTTGCATAGAGATAATGCAGTTGTTTTGTGAGAGTGATAGGGATTTACATAAGCTAATTTACAGCCTATGCTATTGATGCGTGTAGAAAATAGTCATTAGTGAATGTTGAGCAAAGGTATTTATGGTGGTGGCGAGAGATGGACATTATATGTGTGTAAAATATATGAGACTTGTGAAACTCTAGAGATGATCGGCTTCAATGCCTGGGATGTGTAGTTTATGCAAAAGCATAATTTTTGAGAGTAGAGGGAGTGAAGGAAGGCAAGCGGCTGGTGTCCTGGGGTGGATAACAACACATGGATACAATCCACCAGGGGCTAGCAAGAAGTAGTAGTAGTAGTAGTAGTGTAGAGACTTACTTGAGGATGCGAGACTACGGTGGAATATGAATATAAACAATTACAAATTAGAGAAATAGAATGGACAATGTAAGCAACGTGTGTGGTGTTAGAGAGTTGATAAGAGTAAGGAATGAAAATTTAATTGAGAGCAAACCGAGAGGGTTTGGGTGTGTTTAACGAGTGTATGAGGGTAGACTTTAGTGAATTTGAGAGCAGGAGGAGAAGAGGAAGGCACGGAAGATGGGCAGACATGTTGAGTGTGTGTGAGTAAGTGGGGAGGGAATGATCAGGGGGAAAGCGTCAAGCCATTACGACTATATAGCACTTGGAGTAACTGAACAGCGTACGGAATATTGTGAGGAAGAAGTCTGGATGGAAGTGTGTTGTAAATATGGAGTGGCTATATTTGTTTGTGGTGTAAATTAACACAATTTATAAGGAGTACTGTGCACCTGGTCCTAAGAAGCAGTGGGACGCTACTGTAGATGACTGCTGATCTGTAGTGGTATTTATTTATCTGTGGTATAATTTAGTTTTTACACTATAACGAACCGAAGAGTAGTACATTTGTCTTTATTACATATAACATCACCTATTTTCGCCGGGCTAATATCGCCTCATGAAAGTAAAGAACAGGCTAAATAACAATGGAAAGATGGGGTCACTGTCACCACTTGCGCTCATTCAAGTATTTATTTCCCCAGATGAAGGCAACAATTGACAAATCTATTGATGATGCAAATGAGTTTCACGAATCTTCACTGCTTTTGAAAGAGGTACTTGACCCCTCCGTTGTCATCCTCCGCAATGGCCTGCAAGATCATTATTTCCAACATTTCCTCTGGGGATTCTGGAAAGCCACATTGTCGACGATTGCAAGCAAAATAAGCATTAATTCAAAGGTTTGTACTACACGATATATTCATAGTAATAATGCAAATACAAAATTCTGTATGTATATTATTATTCATAAACAAAAGATTCCACAAATAAATTTGGATTTCTTGAATGTCTTAAAGTCGTTTCCATACTTTTCAGAGAGAATATGTCTATTTTGAAACAATGCACAAAATATTGCAAGAATTGTTCAAGTTTTTCACACCAGAATCTGGAGGTCTGGATCCCACACTTGCTAAAACTCCAGGTATGACCAAGTTCTCAGAGCCTGAGCTGTGTGTTTCATGTGTAAATCACGAAGAAATTAAAAGGTGACGAATAACTTGAAATTGTATAACCATAAAAGGAAATGAAAAAAATTCGGAATAAAAAGTCGTAATTTGAAAATGAAAATAGGTGCAGAGAGTCAGAATTTGGCTGAAAAATCACGCTCAGGAGTCAAATTTCCGACATTTCAGATATTTTGAAAACTGCAGGGGTGTGTGGGCAAAATAGGACCCTTCCCCGTTTTCAGTAATTGGCTTATTTTCGGAATAAAAAGTCGTATTTTGAAAATGAAAATAGGTGCAGAGAGTCAGAATTCAGTTTAAAAATCACGCTCAATAGTCAAATTTCCGACATTTCAGATATTTTGAAAATTGCAGGGGGGTTTGGGCAAAATAGGACCCTTCCCCGTTTTCAGTAATTGGCATATTTTCGGAATAAAAAGTCGTATTTTGAAAATGAAAATAGGTGCAGAGAGTCAGAATTCGGTTTAAAAATCACACTCAATAGTCAAATTTCCGACATTTCAGATATTTTGAAAATTGCAGGGGGGTTTGGGCAAAATATGATCCATCGCGATATTCAGTAATTGGCATATTTTCGGTATAAAAAGTCGTAATTTGAAAATGAAAATAGGTGCAGAGAGTCAGAATTTGGCTAAAAAATCACCCTCAGGAGTCAAATTTCCGACATTTCAAATATTTTGAAAACTGCAGGAGTGTTTGAGCAAAATAGGACCTTTCCACGTTTTCAGTAATTGGCTTAATTTCGGTGTAAAAATTCTTAATTTGAAAATCAAAATAGGTGCAGAGAGTCAGAATTTGGCTCAAAAATCACGTTCAGGAGTCAAATTTCGGGCATTTCAGATATTTTGAAAACTGCAGGGGGGTTTGGGCAAAATATGACCCATCGCCGTTTTCAGTAATTGGCATATTTTCGGTATAAAAAGTCGTAATTTGAAAATGAAAATAGGTGCAGAGACTCAGAATTCGGCTCAAAAATCACGCTCAGGAGTCAAATTTCGGACATTTCAGACATTTTGAAAACTGCAGGGGGGGTTTGGGCAAAATATGAATCATCGCCGTTTTCAGTGATTGGCATATTTTCGGTATAAAAAGTCGTAATTTGAAAATGAAAATAGGTGCAGAGAGTCAGAATTCGGCTCAAAAATCACGCTCAGGAGTCAAATTTCGGACATTTCAGACATTTTGAAAACTGCAGGGGGGGTTTGGGCAAAATATGACCCATCGCCGTTTTCAGTAATTGGCATATTTTCGGTATAAAAAGTCGTAATTTGAAAATGAAAATAGGTGCAGAGAGTCAGAATTCGGCTCAAAAATCACGCTCAGGAGTCAAATTTCGGACATTTCAGACATTTTGAAAACTGCAGGGGGGTTTGGGCAAAATATGACCCATCGCCGTTTTCAGTAATTGGCATATTTTCGGTATAAAAAGTCGTAATTTGAAAATGAAAATAGGTGCAGAGAGTCAGAATTCGGCTCAAAAATCACGCTCAGGAGTCAAATTTCGGACATTTCAGACATTTTGAAAACTGCAGGGGGGTTTGGGCAAAATATGACCCATCGCCGTTTTCAGTAATTGGCATATTTTCGGTATAAAAAGTCGTAATTTGAAAATGAAAATAGGTGCAGAGAGTCAGAATTCGGCTCAAAAATCACGCTCAGGAGTCAAATTTCGGACATTTCAGACATTTTGAAAACTGCAGGGGGGTTTGGGCAAAATATGACCCATCGCCGTTTTCAGTAATTGGCATATTTTCGGTATAAAAAGTCGTAATTTGAAAATGAAAATAGGTGCAGAGAGTCAGAATTCGGCTCAAAAATCACGCTCAGGAGTCAAATTTCGGACATTTCAGACATTTTGAAAACTGCAGGGGGGTTTGGGCAAAATATGACCCATCGCCGTTTTCAGTAATTGGCATATTTTCGGTATAAAAAGTCGTAATTTGAAAATGAAAATAGGTGCAGAGAGTCAGAATTCGGCTCAAAAATCACGCTCAGGAGTCAAATTTCGGACATTTCAGACATTTTGAAAACTGCAGGGGGGTTTGGGCAAAATATGACCCATCGCCGTTTTCAGTAATTGGCATATTTTCGGTATAAAAAGTCGTAATTTGAAAATGAAAATAGGTGCAGAGAGTCAGAATTCGGCTCAAAAATCACGCTCAGGAGTCAAATTTCGGACATTTCAGACATTTTGAAAACTGCAGGGGGGTTTGGGCAAAATATGACCCATCGCCGTTTTCAGTAATTGGCATATTTTCGGTATAAAAAGTCGTAATTTGAAAATGAAAATAGGTGCAGAGAGTCAGAATTCGGCTCAAAAATCACGCTCAGGAGTCAAATTTCGGACATTTCAGACATTTTGAAAACTGCAGGGGGGTTTGGGCAAAATATGACCCATCGCCGTTTTCAGTAATTGGCATATTTTCGGTATAAAAAGTCGTAATTTGAAAATGAAAATAGGTGCAGAGAGTCAGAATTCGGCTCAAAAATCACGCTCAGGAGTCAAATTTCGGACATTTCAGACATTTTGAAAACTGCAGGGGGGTTTGGGCAAAATATGACCCATCGCCGTTTTCAGTAATTGGCATATTTTCGGTATAAAAAGTCGTAATTTGAAAATGAAAATAGGTGCAGAGAGTCAGAATTCGGCTCAAAAATCACGCTCAGGAGTCAAATTTCGGACATTTCAGACATTTTGAAAACTGCAGGGGGGTTTGGGCAAAATATGACCCATCGCCGTTTTCAGTAATTGGCATATTTTCGGTATAAAAAGTCGTAATTTGAAAATGAAAATAGGTGCAGAGAGTCAGAATTCGGCTCAAAAATCACGCTCAGGAGTCAAATTTCGGACATTTCAGACATTTTGAAAACTGCAGGGGGGTTTGGGCAAAATATGACCCATCGCCGTTTTCAGTAATTGGCATATTTTCGGTATAAAAAGTCGTAATTTGAAAATGAAAATAGGTGCAGAGAGTCAGAATTCGGCTCAAAAATCACGCTCAGGAGTCAAATTTCGGACATTTCAGACATTTTGAAAACTGCAGGGGGGTTTGGGCAAAATATGACCCATCGCCGTTTTCAGTAATTGGCATATTTTCGGTATAAAAAGTCGTAATTTGAAAATGAAAATAGGTGCAGAGAGTCAGAATTCGGCTCAAAAATCACGCTCAGGAGTCAAATTTCGGACATTTCAGACATTTTGAAAACTGCAGGGGGGTTTGGGCAAAATATGACCCATCGCCGTTTTCAGTAATTGGCATATTTTCGGTATAAAAAGTCGTAATTTGAAAATGAAAATAGGTGCAGAGAGTCAGAATTCGGCTCAAAAATCACGCTCAGGAGTCAAATTTCGGACATTTCAGACATTTTGAAAACTGCAGGGGGGTTTGGGCAAAATATGACCCATCGCCGTTTTCAGTAATTGGCATATTTTCGGTATAAAAAGTCGTAATTTGAAAATGAAAATAGGTGCAGAGAGTCAGAATTCGGCTCAAAAATCACGCTCAGGAGTCAAATTTCGGACATTTCAGACATTTTGAAAACTGCAGGGGGGTTTGGGCAAAATATGACCCATCGCCGTTTTCAGTAATTGGCATATTTTCGGTATAAAAAGTCGTAATTTGAAAATGAAAATAGGTGCAGAGAGTCAGAATTCGGCTCAAAAATCACGCTCAGGAGTCAAATTTCGGACATTTCAGACATTTTGAAAACTGCAGGGGGGTTTGGGCAAAATATGACCCATCGCCGTTTTCAGTAATTGGCATATTTTCGGTATAAAAAGTCGTAATTTGAAAATGAAAATAGGTGCAGAGAGTCAGAATTCGGCTCAAAAATCACGCTCAGGAGTCAAATTTCGGACATTTCAGACATTTTGAAAACTGCAGGGGGGTTTGGGCAAAATATGACCCATCGCCGTTTTCAGTAATTGGCATATTTTCGGTATAAAAAGTCGTAATTTGAAAATGAAAATAGGTGCAGAGAGTCAGAATTCGGCTCAAAAATCACGCTCAGGAGTCAAATTTCGGACATTTCAGACATTTTGAAAACTGCAGGGGGGTTTGGGCAAAATATGACCCATCGCCGTTTTCAGTAATTGGCATATTTTCGGTATAAAAAGTCGTAATTTGAAAATGAAAATAGGTGCAGAGAGTCAGAATTCGGCTCAAAAATCACGCTCAGGAGTCAAATTTCGGACATTTCAGACATTTTGAAAACTGCAGGGGGGTTTGGGCAAAATATGACCCATCGCCGTTTTCAGTAATTGGCATATTTTCGGTATAAAAAGTCGTAATTTGAAAATGAAAATAGGTGCAGAGAGTCAGAATTCGGCTCAAAAATCACGCTCAGGAGTCAAATTTCGGACATTTCAGACATTTTGAAAACTGCAGGGGGGTTTGGGCAAAATATGACCCATCGCCGTTTTCAGTAATTGGCATATTTTCGGTATAAAAAGTCGTAATTTGAAAATGAAAATAGGTGCAGAGAGTCAGAATTCGGCTCAAAAATCACGCTCAGGAGTCAAATTTCGGACATTTCAGACATTTTGAAAACTGCAGGGGGGTTTGGGCAAAATATGACCCATCGCCGTTTTCAGTAATTGGCATATTTTCGGTATAAAAAGTCGTAATTTGAAAATGAAAATAGGTGCAGAGAGTCAGAATTCGGCTCAAAAATCACGCTCAGGAGTCAAATTTCGGACATTTCAGACATTTTGAAAACTGCAGGGGGGTTTGGGCAAAATATGACCCATCGCCGTTTTCAGTAATTGGCATATTTTCGGTATAAAAAGTCGTAATTTGAAAATGAAAATAGGTGCAGAGAGTCAGAATTCGGCTCAAAAATCACGCTCAGGAGTCAAATTTCGGACATTTCAGACATTTTGAAAACTGCAGGGGGGTTTGGGCAAAATATGACCCATCGCCGTTTTCAGTAATTGGCATATTTTCGGTATAAAAAG